ACCACAAAGCCTCTCATCAATAATCTTACGTTCCAAACGGGGCCGTGCTATCGTAGAAGAAATTTTGCCGCTTTCATTCTAATATATCAACGCGTATTCTAGCTTTTTTTAGGATTCCGTGCGAGTCATTCATCTCAACTTCTGTCAGTCCCTCTACGCCTATCTCCCCATTCAGAACATACAAACACATGCAGACTTCCGATATTCCCGAGACTTGCTGTAACCAAACTACCTCAAAAGGAACAAATCCGCTATCCTTCCTACGTTCCAGAGACCTACTATAAATAAGCTGCCCCAACGAGAATATATCTGCAGTCCTCAGCACTATGGCTTGCATGTTTGTGCAAGCCCGTCTTGCCAAGTGCCAGGTACGTCACTGAGGAGCACAGCAGACTTGCAGGGTCAATATAGACGCATCAACACCGGCTCGTTATCCAAAACTATACAGGCTCAACCTTCCTGGGCACCGAGATGAAACCCGACAGCGTCGATGCCCATTTTTATCTGCTAGTCTCTCTCCAGAACCCTCTGCATGTAATGTCCACATACAAGTACCTGCGAAGAACTCACACCTTGACAGTCACCAGGTCGAGTTTGGTTGATGTTATAAACGGACTGAGCTTTCGCGTCTCCAAGCGAACTGAAGCAGAAGAGTCGGAACATTTTCAGCCTCGGAAGCGTGCTTCGTGCTTTGGTAGGTTTCCACTCTGTAGAAGCCTGGGATGTTTGCCTTAAACACGCCTTACGTGCTCGACAGCGGGAGAGAGCTTCAACTAAAACGATGCCTCGAGCGCCCGGATCTCTCGCAAAGAGGAACCGGTTTCGTGGATTTGTGAATTATATATTCCCACTAAGGGAAGCCCTTCCTGCACAGGCTCTAGATATACCGAGATAGGCTGTTTAGAGGTTAGCAGGAGCTCTGGCCACTGGTCCAGGACATAAGTTTGGGAAGCTGTCTGGGAACGGGCAGCCCGTAAGCCTTGCAGCTCTAACCCACTTCCTTGGAACATGCGGCGCGATGGTAGCACATGCACGAATTTGGGAGCCTTCTGGCGACGTACTGTGTTTCAAGCCCATCTGGACGGATGAGCCGCAGAATTCGCCTTTCCCGAACTTTCTGTAGCTTTTCGAGCTCACCCTGTCAGCATTCACACATATCTGTCACTTCGCTTGCTCCTCGTGTTGCGAGCTGGGCTCTGGCAACAGCTTGCCTATCCTGCGACTAAGCCGAAAAAAGTTGCATCATGATTAGATCTGGTCAGATGCAGGTATCAACAGCTCTCGTACTCATGGCCATCTGAATCTGGCTTTCTGCTAGATCACCAGTCGGGCTCGGCCTTCGACTGGTGCAAAAGACCCTCCGACACTCTTAGAATAGGGTTTTGGGGCCCATTATGCTATAATCATAATTTATTATACTATGATCATAATTAAGTATACTATAATCATACCTAATTATGCTATGATCATAAGTAGTTATACTATAATCATAAATAAAAAACCCTGGGGGAAGAGAAATGCTTGGGGACTCCCGGGGTCGCTGTTGGACCTTTGTGTTCGTTGTCTGAGGGTATTGCTTTGGGCTGTTTCGGATTTCGCGGGGGGGGCTTTGAGGGCCTGAGGATGTTATGCAAAATTAGGTTCGTAGGAACTATCAAGGGTCTTGAGGCTTGAGCATCATACAAGTCGAACGTTCGTCTGCGTCTGGAGGGCCAGATGCATGTTGAGCTTTACACTTTACAACTTAAAGTAAATCCACGGCGGCTTGTGTAGCCTCCGCCATAAATGGTTGGGTGCAAAATTGGAACAGGCAGCCCGCGGCAAGAACCACAAATGTGAACACTAACACTCAGCCACCCCGAGCCACCCTGCTTACAAGTAAGTCGAATTGGCAAGTGTGGGATTTCGAGTCTTCAGCTTCGTCGCAATGAGATCCATCTTGGCCATCAGTATCCTGCAGAACGCAGCATGTACATGAATCTCGGCGACAACAGCACGAGCAGCCGAAGTATCGGGACTTCGAATATGGGGGCCTTCATGGCTATGAGGTTTTGGGGGTTTCGGGTATCTTTCTCAACAAAAATGGTGTTTGCAATGGTTTACGCTCTCGCAACTCGGACAATCCAGACGAGGTTCTTGGTCGGCAGAACATTTGCAATGGTTTGGGGTTCCTCATCGCGAAACTGTAGCATCTTCAGGTCCTCCCCAGGACGGCGATTGCCAAACACCCGCCGGACTACGAGCGAAATGCACGCACGGCATGTGCCTAAGATTGGCACGCGCACTCACACACACACACACACACAAACACGCGTGCGCGCCTCTTATCGTATGCAGGTGCCTTCGAAGGAATGCGCAATCACCGCTGCTGCTGTCTCGGCTTGAGATCAGTGCCGCATGCGTGCGTCCTCCTATATTCCCAAAATAACTACCGAAACGAAAAATCCTCCCTGTCTCTGCCTGCCTTGTTGAAGCCTGGCCAACCACCCTGTGGGCAAGCTCAAGCCCCTGACATGCATGATAGGAGTGGCCTCTGCGCCATGCTATTTTCATGGATCTGCTTTCGCAGCTTGCCGGTTTGCATACCTGACAAACAGTGACAAACATGTCGAGACGGCTTCGCAAGACTTGAAGATCTGCTGTCCACGCAGAACCAGTGAGACCGCTTCGTCTTGCCGATAGAAAACAGCCTCACCTTGGAAGGCCTTTCGAGAGGAAGGTGTCTTTTGCTGGTTGTGGTACCGTACCCCTACCAGCCGTCGACCTCGAGTGCCACCGAGGCGCTGAGCTCAAAGAGATCAATAGCTTTTGCATTCCCTTGGATCTTCCTGAAGAATCGAGAGCAGGTCAGGTGGTGTCCATGGTTGCTTGGAACTTCAGTTGTCCATGGTCGTTTCTGCGAAAGGCTTCGATGGAGCTGGGGCAGGGCATAGGGCATAGGTCTTATTATATTAGAAGATCGACGGGCGCTACGCAACTAACAATCACAGTGCGACACATCCACCAGTTGAGAGAGAATCCCCTCTGAAGGAATGCAGCCGACTTGTGTCAAGGAGAAGAGGCCAATGCTAAGCACCTAATCCCAGCACAGCATGACGTGTCTCGATTCTCCACAAGATGCACCCTGATACTCACTGCTCAGATGGACTGTCCGATCACGTTCATTATCGAAGCCAGCTTGCGTGCAGCCGTCCAGGAACTCGTCCACCCCAAGCAAGTTATCCTGGCCCACACACAGGGAATGCTGGGTGGTCTAAAGTCTGAAAGTGACTTTGTTTTACAATGCAATTCTTATCCTTTCTTCTCCGTTTTGGGATCTCGTCTGCTTGTGTGTCCTTGTGCTATTGTCCCAGGATAGGTCTAAAGTCGGGTCTTCACCTCCCGCCATGCTTCACAAAGGCTCCCACCTTTCACGCCTAGAGTCCTAAAGCATTGCAGGATAAGATGCGTTTCTCGCTGCAACAGCTCCATGTCGACACACGAATACGGCAACAATGGCATGCTAACTCGAACTGGAGCCCTTAGCCCAGACTCACGGGTCCTTGTTGACATCCAAAATCTTGAAAAGCTGCTTCCTGATAGTAGAAAGGAAGCATCGGGCATTGTCTTTCAGGCTTCAAAGGCCAATTTCGGCCGCAAAAATGACACACCCTTCACCGCCGTCCGGGTTCTAAGGTTGCCATCACGCGACAACATCAAACTGACTATGTACGTCCGAGACTGCTCTTCCCAGGGAGATCTCGCTGCTATGACTTCCAGCCATTTTCTCCGGACTCTGCACTGAACCCTCAACCCTTTTGCAACTGGCTTGCAACGTCACGCCAGGACAGCTGTAAAGCCTGATCCCAAAAGCCCGAAGCCGTAAGTTGAGTCTGAGGGGCGCATCCCCGGCACCGAGGTCCAAGGCTTCGAAAAGGTTCTTCACCTTCTCGTCCTCGTCAGGTTTTGAGAAGAGGGTGCTGTTAAAACCCACAAAGCTTGGGATAATTCTTGAAACCCATGCATTTGTGAGTTTCCGAAATTACGGGGGTGCCTTATTTTGAGGTTCTTATAATGAGGATCTTACTATTCAGGGTAGTATATTAGGCTCCCCGTATTTTCCGAAACTCCTATTTGGCATCTGGGCCCAAGATGAGTGGCATAGGACTTGGATTCGAGATGTCCCGGGCCCCTACGTGTCAGATATTGTGGTCTGTGGCTCAGCGCCGACGGGCTTCCGAGAGCTTTGGGCCTGGAGCTTTTGAAGGTAGTAGCTATGAACCAGCTGAAGAGCTTCCTCTTCTTCTTCTTCCTTGCTTAGGGTCTCGAGGGACCGAGAGTCTGAGGGATGGCTTTCCGCAGTTAACGGAGTCCTGCATGCACTGCTTGAACTCCTTGTAGCATACAGAGCCATCGTCATTCACATCCATGTCCCGGAAGAGCCTGAGTACCAAAAACTTCTTGTTCAAAGCAGTCGTAGGACTCGAGCGCCGCCATCGGGGACCCCGCTTCTGTTCCGGGTTTTCGGTCCCGGTTCAAGAGAGTTTAGCTGTGCCAGCGCAAGGCTGGACCGACCGATCAGCGGCGAGTCGAGGTGCTTGGTCAATACGTTCTTGAGCTCATGCTTGTCGACCATCAGCGCCTCCGGCACAAGAGGCCGCCCCAAACTAACACAGAACCTGGAGGCTTAGAATCGAACAACCAAGAGCTACGACTGCTCAAGGGGGTCTCACTTTTCGTCATCCCAAGCACGCCATTGCTGTGGTAGTGATAGTGTCATAACGGGGGCACGAACAGCCCCGCAGCACGGAATGTCTGGACAGACCTGTTTCCCCCTTGTATGACTGGGTGCTCTGTCCCGCCCAAATTTGCTGACATGTGCTTTCGCGCCTTGTATCTCGTAAGCCCCAGCAGTCTGTAAGTACCGCCTGGCATTCCTGACAATACGTTTGTAGTGGCATTGCTGAACACCCGGAAACTCCCCGACGACCTAGCGATGAGACGAAGCAAATCGGAGCAAAAAGAATCCAGGACACTGGACTGCGAGTCCGACTGCATGAAACGAAGCAAGCCGGAGCAGCAACAAACCTGTAGCGACCACTAGAGACAAGGTACGACGGCTCCATGCACTGCGGTCCCTGCTCCTTTGAACTGAACTTGCGGGCATGTGCTGCGCGGATATTCTGAGTCAGCACAAGTTGCAAATGTGGAACTTCTTGAATCTTGATCCCGACTTGCCCGACCCTAGCTTTTGCATGTCGTGCACTGTGGGATCATATGCTGTAGGATCGAGAGCTTTTCTCGAGAGCAGAACGTATCTTATGTCCCGATGGTAAGCAATGTGGACTAGGCGATCGGCAAATGTCGACAGGCTTTGGTGGGTTCATTGAGTTCTGTGACTCAAATCCTTCGTGTATTGAGCAGCAGAGTGGGGCCACATGACACGCCACGAAGAAACTACAGGACATGAAGCAGGATTTACCAGGGTTTTCGAAGGCAGATGTAACTGGCGTATGAGCGTGCTATAATTTCACATCGCAGTGCACCAGAAGCATCAATGCGAACTTCACTATGGTCTTGCCTCGGTCCATCCATGTAGGTTCTAGCAATCTGAAACCTGGAGGAAGGAACCTGCTTCAAACGATAGGGCTTAGGGATTGTAACGGAAGAAGCCTACACCTTTTCTCGTGTTTGGAACCTTGGAGACTTCGAGACAAGTTCGGGGCCTGCACAGCCATCTCCTGGTCCTTCTCTGCACCCTTGATCGCAGAATTGCAGAAGACACCTCCGCAAGGGGCGCATCCCCGTCTACATGCGTGTGCCTATATGATTATATAGGTTATAATGTACTCTAGTAAAAAAAGGTGATATATCGTAATACATTACAGCAGATTATCCCATGATTTACTATCATACACCATGGCATCGTACCAGTTCTTTGCACTGTAGTTGATTACATCCGGCGTGATCATATTCTATTGCTGTATAGTGCACCATATTATGTACGCTTCGAATATCTGAAATCATATGGCATCGATATTGGATTCTATTCTTTTCTACAAAACACTTTCTAGTTGAAGTCTGACCGATTGCCCTTCCTGTATTGTGGGCTGTTCTGCCTCAATACGAGATGGTACGAGGCATTGGTACATGTTATATCATATTTCATCGTACCCTGCTAGAACATACCATAATATGATGTAATGTGTTTCATCACCTTATCTTGCCCTACAGTCTGCTTTTTGTGCTACCCAACACTCTATTGCCTTATCCTGCGTTAAGATATCTGATCTGCCATTATCTCGTATTACCGTGTATCATACGGTAACACCTTATGCTATGTTACATTGTACTGTTTACTATTTTCTAGTATAGTATACTGTCGTTATAATACGACATAGCATTAGTCTATCACACTGAACTATGGCGTATTATCTTATGGTCTAGTCTCTTGTGTTGTCCTCTGTTATATCAGAATCTAACATAGTATAGCATAAAATGATGTAATATGGTACAATGTGACGTACTGGACTACATCACCAACTTTTAGTCGTTGAGTGTAATGAAACCTGACGTCATGTAGTACGGTATGATATCCACACTTCCATTTCCTTCTTCTTCTGTTCAGATATCTTATCTATGCCTGTATCGCCTGTATCTATATCAATGTCTTTTTTAACTACATGTGTCTATGTCAAGACCTATATCTACATCAACATGTATGTCTATGTATCTACGGAGGTTCTCTTCAGCTTGTCAATACGGCCTGATCGTGCAAGGATTTGCGGGCCCCTCTGGCTTCTTACTCAGCATGAAGGCCGAGGCCATCACATCACAACTAAAAGGAGATCGCAACAATAGACTGTCTGAGCAACGAGAAGGTACACCCCAAGCCCTTGGCCTGTCATCACGTTGAGGACGGCCTCAGATCATATCTTGCACAGCCAAGGATAGCAGCTGCTGTTGCGGTTCTTTACGCAGGAAGCCAAAAGAACACAAACACAATCATTGGTTCCTGACGGCTGAGACTGCGGCGAATAAACTGAAGGCCACGTACGAGCAGAAGAGGTAGACCCAGCACCTTGACTTCCAAGAGATTCTGCTGAAGCACTGGCAGCTGTGGTGAGATTACGACAACACTTTGGACCCAGTATCACAACCTTCCATTGAGGCAGGAAGTGGCAGGACATTGAGTCTTGAGCCTGCAGCTGTGCCGCGGCGTCGCCTCCTGACCCTCTTCGCTTGTGAAGAATCACTCTGATGCCACTTCAGGTATCTACTGGGAGAAGCCAATGAACTCCATGCGTCCCTGACTGCAACCAGTCCTGTATTATCCTGTATCAAGCAGCTGGCACGCGCCCAGACTCCCAATCGGCGCAGATGTTGTTCATAATTCATACCGGACTCGCTAGACGCAACAGCGTAGCCAGCATGCACACCGGTTGCTTCAAGCACTGGAGACGACCTCTTTAAAAGTATGTTACCAAAGCGTCCCGAGTTTCACAAGTTTCAGGCCGCCTCCTTCGGCTTGCATGTCAGATTGCTTCGTATCTCGAGGGCCAAGGCAAGCAACGAGCTGGCAGTTGCGATTTACGTTGTGCGGCGATATATGATATTGCGGTACATCATAGCATACTACAGTATGGCTACATATTATCACCCTACGACGGCAACTCTCCGAGCAGTCTTGGCAGCCAGGTGTGCGCACATTCCTCGAATTGCATTGACTGTGTCATGCAAGCTGGGCACCAGCTGATCCGTTGAAGCGCATTCGTGGCCTCGACCCACGACCTTTGCTATCAACACCATCGACCAACAACAACTTGCCACGAATTTCGGTAACTGCTATGCCGTACATGATGATGAGGCTGCAGAAGCAAGCAAGGGTGTCGAAGAACAGTGGATACGGCGAAGCAGCAGGTGTCGACGGTAGTAGCTATGCGGTTCACAATTTACCTCTCCTGCATGCCTCCAGGCGCATGGCTCGTTTGTCACTTGCGAGACTGCTTCAACCAGAAGGCTCGTGACGCATCTTACTGTCGCAAGTCAGCAGACTCGCTTTCCCATGCTTTGTGTGCCAGGCGCGTCTTAGGTCCGAGTCTGTCGTCGGTCTTGGTAGGTCTGGTAGGTTCAGTGGGACCGCAAGCACTTTCATCGCGGCCTTTGTGCCGAAAAGGTGTTCTCCAATTGCTGTGAGTTGTGACGACGGCAAATGGTGCTGGTCGTTGCTGGCGTCGGTGGTACAGCGCATCGCTTTTGAGAAAAATACACTTCGGCTTGCAGTCCGAGCCGTCAGATAATAGTAATATTTCTACTAGTATTATTTGTATTCTTCGTTTTATTCTTAGTAGGTCTTGTTAGTATATTGTATCATATGATTAGTATTTAGCAGTATTAGCAAGAAAAAGAAGCAGGATGCAGGACAGTTTGAACTCGGCAAGCCCTAGTCCCAGAGAGCAACTTCGCTGCCGGCAAGCAGCAGACCACCAGCGATGGACATGAACCTCAAAGCCAACAGAGACGATGTGTGCAGGAACCGTCATAAGGAAAGGCAACAAAGTCATTGACATACACCAAGTGGAAAGCAAAAAGAAAATGTACTTTCAGTATGGAGCAGCAAGGTGTGGATGGACAGCTGCAGGTCTCCAAAGAGCCTTGCCAGTGCAGCGGCCTCCTGTGGGAAGTGTGGCAGTTGTGAGTCTGGGAGCTTCAGGAGCTCTTGGCTTGAGGGGTCGGTGGGGGGAACTTATTGCATTCCACAGTCTGGGATGCCTAGATTTCAGATCATTCTACGTCTCGCTCTAAGTGCACGTTGCCGTGGAGGGCTCGCACGCACCGCCACTGAGTGGAAATTCTTGTCATCGTCGAAAATGCAGGTTTCACCGTCTTGAGGCCTTCAGAGCGAGGATACATGATGGGAGCTGCAAGAATCTCAACCTCCTGGCCCTGATTGTGGTTTCGCCAATCCGAGAGTGGTTCCGGCACTTACAGTTGCACTCCAGTACACAGCAGGGTGGTGTGACTTGGGGATGAGCGCTTCTGAAGGATTTGACGCGCAACCCTCCCAGTCCGTCCTCCGGCAAAAAGGCGTCAGGAGAGGTGACCAGTGCACGATTTACAGCCTCTGTGAAAGCTGCGGCGAACCTTGGTAGTTTGGCCGCGGATTAACACATGCTGCGCGATCAAGTGCACATGTATACTCTCAAACTGTGTCCTTTCGAATCTGGGCTTGTTGACTGCAGGAACATGACTAAAGTGCAAGAAGTGAGTTTCAATGTGCCCGTGGTCAGTTTCGGTGCTGAGTTTCATGGCGGAGTTTCGGAACATGATGGGGGCAGTTTTGGTGCAGGAAACACTGCCACGCCCAGCCCCAAAAGCTACATCCAGCGTGCAAAGCCACAACACTGGCCAACCTTCACGAAAGCGCTGTGTGGAGAGCTTTCTTGGGCCCAACTTGAGGCCACGATTTCGCCGGAACGGGCCTTCTGGAGCCCAACTTGAAACCATGATGTCACCGGAAAGGCCTTCGTGGGCCCAACTTGAAACCATGATTTCACCGGAAGGGCCGTCCTAAGCCCAACTTGACCTGGAGGGCCTTTTGGAGCCCAAATGGCCCAAACTTGAAACCGTGATTTCACCAGAAGGCCTTCTTGAGAACTTGAAGCCATGATTTCATCAGAAGGTCCTTCTGGAGCCCAACTTGACACCATGCCCTGGAACTAAGATTCTGTGCTATGGCGGCGAGTGCTAACCACAGGCCTGCGTTAACGCCCCGACAGTGAGCTTTCTCTGTCCAGGCTCGCAAGGAAAGGTGTAGGGAGGGTTGAAGGATTGAGGGTCCAGGGTTCAGAGCTCTGCATCGAGGATCCCCAGGCCTGAGTGCGTTTGAGAGGGCCAAACGATGCTCCGTCGCTGCGTTCTTGCTCCTGTGCTCCGTTGCTCCGCTGTTTGGCTCTTCCGTTCGGTGCCGGTGCTTAAAACCCTGCGCTCCACATCTCTTCACGTTTGGCCGCCTTTTGGAGGGCATTTAAACTGTCTTCTAATCTCCACGTCGCAGAGGGCAGGGACAAATCCTACAACTTCACAGCGAACGAACTCCGACCGGCAATGGGGAAGTCCCAACCGGAGTCGGAGTGCAAAACTGAAGCCCAAAAGGAGTGGCGTGTCTGACTGCAGACCCTAAGCAGCAGGGAACCACCGGTTGTGAGCGCTCCAGACTCCCTCCCGAGACTGCGAAACCTTTGCCCCGAAACTGGCTAGGGTCTGCTCTGAAACTCCCTGGCACGCGATCCGACTCCGACACCACAACCCCGAAACTATGGCCACCCGAAAACCCACAACCTGTGGCCAGAAAAGGAGGCCGAATCATCCTTCTGGTGAGAAAACCGCAGTATCCTCTGGGACCAGGATCATCAACACAGGGCAATACAGACATCATTATCTGGAATCATGAGGCCCGGAATCTGATTGATCCTTGTCCTAAATCCGGCACGACAAGACCCGAGGAGCATGTAAACCAACAGAGCCAGAAGCAGCATCGCCCAAAACCTTCGGTTCACTGACAGATGTTGCAGGACGGGATGCGTTTTTGGAGGCTCTGGTCTGTTGCGGGCAACATGTACCCTCTGCCCTGTATGCGATGTGCAGTAAAAGTTCACACGGATGCAGTCGGTTCCAGCTTTGGAAGTATATCTCTGCTTGATGTGCGCATGCGTGTGTCTGTCTATATGTCTGTATATACATGTACATGTGTACACTGTACATGTATATTCAGACATATATACATATGTACGTGTGTATCTTTGTGTGTGCACAAGCACATTATGAAGAAGAACAACACAACAGACACACGCAACCAACCCAGCAACCAAGCAACCAATCTACCAATCAAACAAACATACGTTCGAGCAAACAACTAAGCACACATGCACACGTACCGGCATAAACAAGCGGAGACACATACATGCATGTACATGTACATATGTACAGACATATACATATAATATATATATATATAGAGAGAGAGAGAGAGAGAGAGAGAGAGACAGAGAGAGAGGCAGGCCAGGCACGGCTAGACAGATGTCGGTACATGCCAATGTGCAAGCTGGGGGAGAGGTTTCTGTCCAACGAGACTGAATGATCTTACGCGGGCAGAGTTCAGGAACCTACTGCGCCCGTGGCCCTTTTTGAAGCAATGCATGGACTTGTAAGATGCCAGCACACATGACAAATGCACGCCTATGAAACGAAAGTACTGTGTATAACTCGACTTGAAGAGCACGCGTTGTACATGCATCAGGCGGGCTTTAGAAGTTCTGTTTTGACATGAGATTCGAGTCCCGGCCGAGGCCAAGCCGAAGCGCTGAGTGCCGCACAGGTCTCGAAGAGTCACGAAGATGGAATGGAGAAGGGTCTGGAGTGATCGGGAGAACCTTGCAGAAGGCTCAAATTTGGCTCGACGACACACGAAAAGCCCATGCCGCAGTAGGGACTTGGAATTCAATCTTCCAGACTTGTTGAAACCTGGCAGTCCGTGGGATCCAAGCCTGTTTCCGCTGCTACTATGGCGCAATAGAAATCTGGACACAAGAGAATGATATGCAAGCACCAGGTGAGCAAGATTGGTGCTCGGAGGCAGGTCTCGGCCCATTCTAAGTCTCAGGAAGGGGTAGTGCTCATGGTCTTACTTCCACAACCTGAAGAAGCTATGGCACTCAAACTGAATATTCGACCGAGGCTCCGCACAATACGCAGTAATCGAACAAGTCGGAGAAGTCGGACAAGCCGGAGAGCTCGCAGGACGCGCAAGTTGCTGCCATGATGTGAAAACCTGAAGAACACTTGCACAGCTTTCTTTCGTACACAAGCGGGGTACATCTGAGTCGCATGAGACGCTGTAACTTAGGGCCAGGTCAAACGCTCTAATATCAGTTCGGACAGGAGCAAGGGTGCAGGACTTTAGGGCGCTGACAATCTTCGCTTTCTCTAGCTGTGGCTGACCATTTACCCACCCAACATCTGAAGCCTCTCACCATCTTGTCGACTAGAATCCGAAGATCTGCTGAAGCAATGACCACTTTGCAGCTGGTCTTTGATATGCTCGAAGAGTCAAAGCGCGGCAGAATCACCAATGGTTTTCCGGCCAACTTCCTTCAGCCTCCTCTGCCCGACCTCTTTTCTCTTATCCTCTCACCACTCTCTGCCTCCAAGCCTGAATTCTTCCATACCAGCCTGCACCAGAAATATATGCGATACTCAGTGCAGCCAAGGAGCTTGGTTGCATCCATGCTCGACACATCCGCGACGAGCTGAGGCAGGATCGCCAATACGATGACCGTATCGAACCAATTGATCTTGTAGTTGCCTGCATGGAGCTGGGCGAAACAACTCCTTCTAAGTCAGACCGGTGCTGGTCGTAGAGAGGGCTATCTTTGAAGATGACCCGATGCAAGGGGGCGGGATTTTGGACAACGTGGAACCACGCACTTCAGCAACATTATCTGTTCGTTCGGGCGACGGGCTGTAACAGAATCCGACAAAGAGTTCCAACCTCGGAATGCCGACTTCACACATTGTTGAATCACAAACCTACTGCGGCAGACATGGAATCGTAGAGGGGATAACCTTTGCTCAACCGGCTCTGCCAAGTATGGCCTTTTCGGCCCTCATCTCTCGTCTCAAGGTGCTCTATTTCTGCTAGTGCAAGCCAGCGTCTCGATGTGCAGAAGAATGCTCGGCACCCGTAGGCAGCAAGCCGAGCGCAGAGCTCCAACACGAAGAAAGCCTTAGTTCTGCCACTTTGCTGGTTTTCACATGGTATCTGAAGGAATCCAACCTTGAGCTCTGCAGAGGCGACAAGATGTGACAGAAAAATCAGGGATCCTACTGTGACTGAGCCGATAAACATCACGAGCGGCCTTGCGAAGAACAACTTCCTCTGTCCCTCAAGCCACAAACTCTTGAAAACAACGTGTTCATCTTGGCCAAGACGCATTGAAAGCAAAGCTCACTGCATGCATGACGTCCTGCTGCATGCCACTCTTTCCACAACCGACAATGGCTCACGAAGCACAACTCCATTAAAGAGGCCCGCGTTACCGTTGCTGATTGTTTCCTCTGAGTTTGGCGTCTCCAGCCATCACCATGAACACAACCATGCAGAAAAGATTCGCTATGGTAGCCAGTCCAAGGTAGAATCGAGGCCGCCGTTTTATGTAACAATAACCGCTATTTTTGTATTCTCATTAAATTATCAGATACACTTCCTGACGTGCTTTCTAGGGCTCTCAGTTACAACCCTCGAGCCCCTTTCCGGTCCGGCATGCCGGTTGTGCGGTGGCGCGCTTGCCAATGAATGGTGGCCCCAAGCAGAACCGAGTTCGCCAAGATCCTTGGTAACTTATCTGCACAGGTCCGCAGCTTTGGCATGATGGGCTGTTGGTGTTCGTGCATTGAATCTGCATGAACCCCTACTTGGAGGACCATGGGACTTTATAAGCAAGGTTATCAGTACTTGAACTGGGGTCATAAGCAATGAATAAAGACACAGTTGGTGCAATTCACCTGTAAGTACCCTTGTTTACAGGTCCTATGACTCTTGTCGAAGTTCAAAAAACACTGCTGACGGTTGGCACCTCTTGCGAATGGAAACCTGCGCATCTCGAAGACATCTTCCGAGAGCTGATTGGACGGTCTCGGGGTTACGAGAAATAGGGAATCGTAGGATCTCAGTGGGGTTCCTGCATACCAGGATCCCTAAAGAGGAGCCTAAGGAAGGGTGGAGCAGCTGCTCTTGGACAAAACTTCTCAGATCTCCGCAGGATCGGAATGAAACTCTGCCCTCGAGTTGTCGCCACTATTGCGTAGAATTGCAGTTGGCTGCGACTAAGACCTGCAGCCCTGCAGTACTGTGGACCTAGAACCTCATCGCCCAATCAAACCAACAAACTCAACTTCGAAAGCTGAGCGCAGCAGGCTGAGGGCGCGCATTAACGTTTGGATGGATCAGACATGTGTCGCCCACTTACGAAAATAGATTACAAGCTGCTTGGGCGAGAAGAGAAAGCGTTAACCTCCCGCACACTGAATAACCAACCCTTGTATGGCCCGTAGATGCGCCTAGTGTGTTTCTATTTACACACACATGAAATCCCTGAAATCCCTTAAGAAGCCCATATAGAACCCGCACAGCATCACGGACGAGCGTCAACAGCCCACAAAGGAACTCAAACTTCGCGGAGTCCACGACTCTCTGCAGAAAGGCGCGGCCACAGCTTCCTTGAAACTTATTTCCCACTCTTAGTCCTAAGCAGTGCCTTGCAGAGTGTAAGCTCTCACGCTCGGGCAAGCCAGACGAGGCATGTGGTTCGAGGCCTGTTGAGTGAAACTGTAAACTTATCGGGAGTGCGTCACAACAACGAGCCAAGGGTTTGGGCCTCCGATGGCTAGAGGATTTTACATGTCTCGCTATGTGAGGCACGCTCGTTGTGGCCTGCTGCGGTAGTGACACTGCCGAATGCATCACCAAACGCAACTCGAACAAACAGTCCACTAAGAGCATGAGCACAAGCTGGACAAAAGATTGGCAATGATTTAGCGACACCTGCAGCCGTCACAGGCTCGAAATAATGACACAGCCAAGAACTTAAATCCTGCTAGGGTCGGGACTCTCCCCTTCAAACTCGGACTCTCCGGGCGAATAAAAATTCTTCCTGGATTTAACTAGGGTTGCAATATGCCCATTTCTTGCCATGCAGTATGCCCATTGAAACGTATGTTTTCACGTCCGACTGTGGTCCAAGCAACGCGACCGTATTCTCAACCTTCTCGGCGCGACCACTATGTAGGGCTGTTCGGCAATTAGTAGCACGATCTCGTATCATCCATCATTCCCTCTTCGTAATGATCTGTCCTGCCTAAAGAACAGTGGTCGCCACTGTTGGTGCCATGGCTTACGCTTGTGACTCGTAGCTGTGATTCCTCCCTTTCTGTGACTTGCCAAGATGTTTACATATACCAGCCTATACCCCTACATTGTCCTACATAGCTGTGTATGCTCTGTGTGACCAGGATGGCACGACTTTCGAATGTTCATAAGCTGTCGTTCAGCATCGGCCGAACTTGTGCATGAGCCCCTCGAGATACTACTACACATGCCTGGAAGCACTGCATTCGTGCATTGGACACAGGTCACTCAGATCTCTTTCTCTCCTCTCGGACTCGGTAGGAGGAATCTCCTTCACACATGTGAACGCTGAAACCCGTGAATCTCAAAGGCGCTTGCAGCCCTTTCGGCGAGACTCGCTTCGAGTAGTTTGTGAAGAGGCTCCTTGCTTGCAAGGCCACCCATTCTCTGCGAGCTGGGGCACTGAAAGAGAAGACACAGCGAAAAACAAAGCTTCCCACTAAAGCGCCGCCCTGGCTCATGGTGGAGAGCAGAGAACTCTCGCGCTGGCCGGATTGATATATCCCACTTTCGAGCTCCTGGCAGTCCCAACTGAGCTACAGAGGTTCTGGGCATGCAATGTCTAGTGGAGAAGCATACTCCTTCTGCCGGGCACTTGTCAGTCACTAGAGATTGAAGCATCATCAGGTGTCAAAGAGGAACAGAGCTATGCAAGCCGTCGGTCCATTCGGCGTGGGAGCTCCAAACAAACTGCCATCTCTATAGCTAATTAATCTATGTATAACCTTCAGCCGGTTTGCTCATGATCATATGCGCTGTATCGAAATTCTCGGCACCACAATTTGACCATATAGAAAGAATCACACCGCACAATGACCATATAGAAACTACCGAAAGAAGCTGAGAGCTTCAATGTCCGGATAAGGGAGCACCTCCAGGTGCGGCATCAGTGTGGGGCTCCCGTACACCTCGCAGTCGACACGCCACTTCCTTTGCTCTTGAAAGCTTTGCTTTGGATCTTGGCGTTAGCTGGGAGGGTGCTCGTTTCAGCTTCTGGCAGGTACCCCAGCACGCCAAAAAAGCACGCAACTAAGTCCTTCAGCGATATCTGAAGTCGTGAGCCACTCCGGTTCTCATCCCTGTGACGCCTCACCCAACACCCCCATATTTGCAGCATTCTGTGCTGGCATGCTCGAGGCTTCAAGCAGGGCACCAACTCATGCGCTCGGATTGCTGGCTCTCAGGCTTTGGGTCGTGAGGTCCTACCCCAAGGTGCTGGCCATTGCAGTCTACTTCCGAGTGTCTCGGGAGGGGTTCTGGAAGTCTTGCCACGCCAGAACCGGAAGAGGCTCGGATCTGCTCTGACATTGTCGAGGCTCGGGCTGGCTGTCTCAGCTCGCGGAAGGGAAGTGAGAAGTGTGGGTTGCTGGAACTCCTGCACGTCGGACGCCATGGCCTTGCCGCCCTGATAGTTAGCAGTTAGAATTAGAACTTGGCATAGAGTTTAAGAGCTCTTTATATACGAGGGACAATGGAGGGATAATGTGACAACAATGTGCATCTGAGATCGTCTGAGGCCAGACAAAACTGGCCTGAGAAGGAGGCGAATCCCTAGCCCACTAAGAGCGGAATTCTTCAAGCTGCGGACAAGCGGCTTGCGTCGAGGATTCTTTGCCTGGGCCCGGTGCAGGCACGAAGGAGATGCAAGTTATTGGCCGTGCTTCATCGGTAAGGACACGAAAGAGTTCACAGCCGATTGAAGATGGTTTATGTCAGGGCTGACATGCAAAAGCCAGCCAAGTGAATGAACAATGAACAACATAGCTCAGCTTATACAGACTCGCATGGGTGGCTGACGCATGCTTCGTGACTCCGGGGCAAGATAAGGAAATGAGCCTGAACCGAACACTTGGAGGCTGCCAAGCCCAGCATCACCGTGTGCAGAGCTCGCGATTCTGCCAAGCCACTGATTTGACGACCGAAGGCATCGCTGCCACTTCGTTGTCTCAGGAACCCTGCATCTTGCGTAAGAGCCTTGGCATGTCAGATTGCCTAATTTGACAGATGTTGAAGTCGGTCGGACGCAGTGGGCAAAAAGGAGTGCAGTGAATCTGAAATGTCGTTGTCTCCACCGCGAATGGCAGGGCCAGCATTGCGGGTAGCCCACAAACGGACAAGTGAAGGCTGCAGCACAAGAATCTTATCTGAACAAGATGCTGTGGCTTGTGACCTGCTCAGAAACACTATGAAACACTTCTCATCTTGTCTTGCTCAACATGTTGCAAGCCTGGCCCTCTTTCCAGATCCGCCGGATGTTAGGGACGCAAACCTATGTACATACATACATACATTTACTAAAACAAAGATGTATGAAGGTGCTGAACGACGTCAAGCTCCACAGCTCCGACACTAGACAATCGACGAAGCTTTGTGCCCTGTCTGCTGCCAGCCCGGGAACTGCCCGCTGAGAAGCCGTCGTCGCCGCAGAGTCTTTGCCTCAGTTGCATACGAAAGCAAGGGCTTGACACGGGAAGTGATCTACGATTCTTGCCGCTGCTGCTACATTTGCGCCTGTCTCTCCTCTTGCCATCCTTCCTTGCACTCTTCATCCTCGTGGGGCTATGCAGCTATGCAAGACTGTGACGGACGTTGTTAGGGGCAGCAGCAGCTGCTGCAACACGAGGAGGAGAAGTACAACTTGATATGATGTTGATCCAGCAATGCAACACCTCATGATCGCAAATCGCCTCCAATCGTGGTGTTGTTGCTGGGGGTGGTGACGGGGTGCTGGTAGCAACAGCAGCTGCAGGAGAGGTGCTCAGCGTGGCACAGAAGAAACAGCAGTGGTCATCGTCGTTGCTGTTGCGGCCCAGTAGTTGCAAAGAGGGTGCACAATGGCACAATGATCACAATAACGATCATATTGGTTGTCGCTCTGTCATCGTCGAGAAGAAGGGAGGTGCTTGCTGCTTGCGATTGCCTCTTACGAACTTCGAAGAAGAGACAGCGATGGAATTGGAGGGACAGTTGGCAGATTGCACACCCAGGGGCTTCTGAAGCCAACCCCACACTTGTGGCTGGCGCTAACAGTGTACCAGATAATAACACCAAACCACAGCTTCCACATCTTCCACCATGAGCCGTGCCAAGAACCCGATCGGAAAAGTGATCGAATTCGAAGACTCTCAAATCAGGGCACTGTGCATGTCGTGAGTGGGATGGCAGCACTTTTCCGTCTCAGTGCACCATTAACTAATTAACTAAGTGCGAGGGGCTAACTTGGCGTCCGAATCCATCGCTGCATTGCAGTACACGCTCGTCGTTATGCTCGAGCATGTGAGCTTGCTTGCGTAGCCAAGCTCCTCGGCAGCAGCCACTGGCATGGTATTTCTTCCCTGAACAGGCCGCTGCCAAGCCATGACAAGACCCAAAGGCGAAGTCTAAGACCGATCCAGACGGCATGCAATTCTCGAACGAGAGTTTTGGACCCATCCAGTGACGGTAACAACGTCGTATGACTCGGACTCCTGTTAAAATGACAGACGAGCATAGGTAGACTTCGTAGACAAACGTCATGCTAGGACGACGAGATGAAGAGATCTGCAGGCACACCAGGACGCAGCCACCATCAAACAATCACTGCACCGGCACCAACCGCAAGGTCAATGAAACTGCGAAGACTACAGAACTATAGCTACCAAATGCTACCAACACAGCTTATGGCTTGCAAGCTAAATGCGAAGGTCGCTCATCATTCGCAGCATGTGCAACTCGACAATCTCCTCGCCAAGGAATGTAGTGATATGCGAGTAAATTCGGGGGTACCTTATTTTGGGGTCCGTATAATAGATAAGGATTCTACTATTTAGGGTCCTGTATGAGGGTCCATTATTTTCGGAAACTCCCATATCGTGCGCTTCGAGGACGGAGGTGTAACCTCAGATTGGAGATTCTGCCTTAGCTGCATGCTCATCTAGCAGCACCCCCAACACGTGGATTTTCCCGCACCTAAAATGGCCACGGGCCTGCTCCTGCGATGACTACTGTCTGCTTGCCGTGCAGAAAACAGCAAAGTCCACCCACACCAGCGGCTGTCCAAAAACGCCACCGGTGCTTGCACGACGATGGCGAAGAAGCAAGTGCAAATGATGATGGTTGGCGGAGTGGTGGCTGATGGTGCAATGTCGATCTTTCTTTCTGCTTTACAGGGGTGTGATACTGCGACTGGTGTCCCCCGGAAGTATGCATGGTATGCTGAAGTTATGGTTTTGTGTGAACTTCAGGGGCATCGACCGAGGCATGACATGACTTCACGATTGGGAACCTCACTAGTCACTTGTACGCATCCACCAATCTGGTAGCCTTTTCAGTTACACCCAAAAGCGCTACAAGCGGTTTGTGCCCCGCCTGCGGGTTTGTGGCAACATTCCGCATGACGGCCTTTTCAGTAACACAACACTTCAAGCACACAACGAACCTCAGGTAGGTGCCTCATGTGGCCATCACACGAGGATTGCTTGCAATCGCTTTGCGGTCAAGTTTCCCTCTCCCTCTCCGTCTTGCTCGCTTCTTGAAATTTAAAGACCCCTAGGGGCCCTTGGCCCGAAGGCCTACCCCCACGTGCTCTCTCTCTCTCTCTCTCTGTCTTTTCTTGGGCATGGAGGCTGGTCAAAGCCTCCGGGCATCATGCCCACCCGAAGTGTTTTCGAGGCAAGAGGCGTGAACAGCGAACATAGACCACCAAGAAGCTAAGCCATGAAGTATGCGATATCTGAATACACGTGCCCGTATGTTCTCCAAGGAAACGTGCAAGGAAGCCCCCCTTCAGTGTTGTCAAGAAGCTCAGGACACAGGAACAAGTATGATGACTCTCTCTCTCTCTCTCTCTCTCTCTCTCTCTCTCTCTCTCTCTCTCTCTTATATATATATATATATGCTGTGGAAAGCAGGATCAACCAACGGACTCCTCGAGCGGCCCATGCTTGCTGTCGAGAGGGATGCCCAGAGAAATCGGCGAATCTGCGTCAAGGCTGGCTTTTTTCGACTTAAGGTTAGGGCTCACATTCCGCATTGGACTCACAATGATCCCAAAACTGGCGACCCTGGGGACTCGGCCGCTTAAGAAAGCCGTTGCTAAGCCGGGAGTTCCAGTGTCTCTGTTCAAAGTACGAGTGAAGGGCATGATTGCAGGTTGCAGTGTCTGCTTCGCGAAAGGCACAGTTGGACCGGATGCCGCTGGGGAAGTATTGTTCAATGTCGTGATAGGCGGTTTCATGCAGACTGTGGGGAGGACACCATCACGGCTCAGGTTCCAGATCTCCAGCTGAGCCCTGTCGAAAGACCGTTTCGTGAAGAAGGTGAATGGTAGCTAAGATTCATCTCTAATAATCTAATATGATTCAGTTCCGAAGGTCCTTCATGTTCAGCTGATGTTGTCTGCTCAAGGATTCAATCGTCTGATCACTCGTTGTACCTCACCGATCACTCCGGGCAAAAACCTGCAAATGGCCCACGCACGTCTGATCTGAAGTGCCTGTTGACAAATAGGAAAGGAGGGAAGCACTGCGATTCATGGCAACAGCCCCGCAGCGAATCAGAAGTCTTGTAAGCGAGCTACGCGAGTTCCAGAAAGAACTGAGTTGGAAGCTTCTTGCTTTCGGTGCTTAGGATTCATAAACTCTGCCATGGTCTTCCTGCAACTACCGTCTCTTCTCCTGCACAGAGCCAGGTATGGCGCTTGCAGATAAGATTCCGCCGTCGCAGCACAGATATGCAAGGCGAGGTCGCCAAGAGTGTTGCAGAGGCATAGCAGCGCGGATGCACATCATATTATCATATCATGTAATAGTGCATAACAGTATAACCTACTGACACGGATAAGAAGAATCACCATTACATACGACTTAAACTTTGGAGAATGGTAGTAGCACTCGGCGTCTTTTTGTTCGGTCCGCTGCTGTCTCGTCTGACGGCAAGAAACTTGCAGAACCGGTGCTTGGTGCTCGCATCTTCCTGGCTGAAGCTGGAAGTCAGGGTAGGGGTCCAGCAGTTTATATTGTACTGTTTGGTGTTATTGCTCTTAGTCTTCCTCCTCTTCTTCTTCTTCTTCTCATTCTTGTTGTTAATACTTGTCTTAAGGGCTTTGGCGCAAAGAGGATCACAAGCAAGCCTCGCTGAAGCTGAGCCCTGATTTCTGCATCTCTGCATCTTGATTCTCAAGGTTTCGTCGTTTGCATTAGTCGTTGCAAAATGGTGTCACCGACTCACCGAGGAACCAGGCTGACCAAACACCTCTGCGAGCATTGACGGCTTGGGGAAGATGTGCGCTGACTGTTCCGCCAGGGGGCTGTCAATCCCTGCTTACTTGTAATTATCCGCGATGATGCAACTCCTGCATATCAATCATGTCAACGAGACCTTTGGTATGTCCGTCCACCAGCCCTCGCCCGCTACTCTTGTGTCTCGGACTGAAGCTCTGACGCAGTTGCGCATCCTGTTCCCTGGAGTTCGCCACTCCGAAACCCAAAACCTTCCCTTCTGAGCCGCTGCTATTGACTAGTTAGATTCTGCCAGCTCGAAGAGTGCTGCATGACATGATACCTCAGACCTCATGTCAAGAACAGACTTCAACAGGCTTCAACACGACAGATGGCCTGAGGGCTCTCTTGCACCGCCTGCCGGGTGAAGCGGACCGCGGCAATCCCTCGGTCCTGTAGCCGTCCTCTGCTCTGCATTCCTTCACCTATTTTCCGCGGTCAACAAACACGTCTACTTCTGCTCTGCCAACCTGTCTGTGCAGAAATCCTGTTTCCTGGGCAGCAACCAGAAGCACGGCACGTTCCAGCACTTGGCCTTAAGCACCGTAACTGATAACAGTAGGTCGGCTGCATCGTCCCCAGCAGAGTCACTTCTGCAACAAACTGCATCGACGGAGGTAACGGGAGGATAATTTCCACTTGTGGGTTAGCAGGTTCCCCATCGGCACACACACCCAGCGGCCTTCGCAGTGGGAAGTAGCAGGTGCCAAAGGAGGCCAAAGCATGCCTGAACGACAATTTGCACGCCTTCTTACAGATAGAATGAAAAGGCTCGCCAGGGACCTTTTTGGCTCCATCGTCCCTTTTTCAGGCGATCCGCGAAAGTAGCGTGAGACATTGGATGCTGCCATCCCTTGGGGAGACTGCAGAGACCCACAAAGGGGAAGCGAGAGCCGAAGCATATCAGTCAGGCCACAGTTCAGTGGATCGACCGTTGCATCACATTCAAGATGTCCTCTGTTCTCATGCGCTTGCACTGCGTCTGTGCCTCATCGATCAGTGCAAAGGTTCGATCTAGACTGGTCCTTAGCTGGTCGAAGTTTTGCACCGGAATTGCCAAGCCTGCACTGCTGAGTGCACTCAGTTGGCCCCATTGGATGCCAGGGCCAATGCCGATCCCCACCACGACTGCACCAGTCTGGGTCTGTAATACCTTCATCTCGTCCGTTGCCAGCTCAAAGTCGTTGGGTTCACCATCTGTAAAATGGAAGACCAAACGCACCGGCGAGGCAGCGGAAGAGGGCTGCTTGCCAAATAAGGCTCGCACAGAGCGAAAGGCTTCGCTAAGGTCTTCGCTTAATCCGGAACGATAAATATGGTTTCTGATTCTCTCAACGAAGGCTTGCTCCTCAGTAGTAAAGCCGCTGATTGTCTCGAGAGGTCCATAAGCCACGGCCGCAAACTCAAGGCCACCAACCCGCCCGTGTCGCTGCACCAGAAACCGTAAGAGCTTCTCGGCGGCCGTCTTCAGGAAGTTGTCAAAAACTTCCTGAGTGATGGAACCTGTTTGGTCAAGCAGAAATATGAGGGATACCTTGGTTTCCAGCGCCTTCACGAAAGCACCTGCCAAGGAGTGATCAATCAGATCACCTGGAGTCTGCCTGCTTGATGCCAGCCGTTCGTTTACAAGCAGAACTCTCGCTTTTACTGAGTTGTTCAACTCTTGGCTGTTCTTGACGAACCTATCCACCACATTGGCAGCCTTCTGTAAAGCAGCAGTGTCCAAGTGACGCTGCAAGTCACGATGTGCGGCGAGTTTCCAGGCATCCACGAATCGACGGGCGAGCTCAAAGATGTCAGGGGCCGGCATCTGTACTGCCCACATCTTGGCTGTTTGCGCTGAGGCCGTTTCTTGCGCTGCCGGCGAACTGGATGCAGCTGATGTGCCAGTTGGGGAGGAATTGGGTCGGTACAATCGGAGCGGAAAGTTTTGCTCTGTTAGTGCCTCAAGGACGTCGCACTTCGGGGAATGCTGCACTTGCAGGACCCGACCAGAGCAATCACACAGGATGCTGTTGGGGTTCTGAGTCAGAGCAGCGTCGCGCTCACTGGCCCAGGTAGGGCTCCAAGGAACCTCGCAAACAAGACGGGACTGGACATTGAAGATCTCTTGGGCGACTGCCATGGCCTCATCTGCATCATCAAGGTTTGGCTCGTGCCCTTGCAGATGCTGCTTACCCTGCAAGAGAACGGACCGAAGATGCTCCTCAACCAGCTTCGGCAGCTTAGACTGGAGTCTGAGCGCCTCCTGCACCACGCCGTTGACTAGATCCGTGCCGCGCTGCACGGCAGGTGCATCGTGAGGCACAACGAACGGCCTGAGCTGATGCAGAAGATTAGGAGGAAAAACAGCAGAGGCTGTGCTCGTTGGTGCTTGTGAGGCATTGATGGCCCCAACCTCGGCGGCTTTGAACACCAGAAGACTGGAAACCTCCTTCCACAGCCCTAAACGTAAATGCTCCACAACTTCGGACGCCTCAGGCAGCCTGCTCATGCCTTGCTTCGTCTTGAAGGCTGAGAATGATTGCACACATTCTTGCAAGGCCTCGTCAACCTCAAAGCAATGCTGCACGAAGGCTTCCTCCGCCATGATGGATTCCAGATCCCTTCTAAGGTTCTGCATGCTTTCTAGAACCTTCTTGGACTTGGACTCCCGAAGACTGGAAACGTCCTCCCACAACCCTGTACATGGATTCTCCACGACTTCTGCCGGATGGGGCAGCCTGTTCATGCCCGGAGCCATGTTGAACGCTGAGAATGAGAGCCTACATTCTTGCAAGGCCCTGGCTACCTTCAGGCAATGCTGCGCGAAGGCTTCCTCCGCCATGACGGCTTTCAGATCCCCGCAAAGATCCTGTGCTGGCTCATCAGTCGGCCAGTTTGCTCGCAGGAACACAAGCTTCTGAGGATAATGTGCCCCCAGCAAGCATGGTCGTGGCAGAGTTGAATCCCTCACAATCAGGCTGTGGCTGGAATCCAACATCTCGTGGACCCAGGTCGCGTCATTCGGCCAGTCTGCTCGCAGGAACTGTTCAGGATAGCGTGACCCCAGCAATCCTGATCGTGACAGAGTTGCCACCTGCACAGTCAAACTGTGCGGGGAATCCACCATCTCGTGGACCCAACTCGCGAAATTCGGCGTGCCCGTTACGTCGATCGTCGCCAGACCCTTCACGGCCCAGAACTCCCGGCCCATGACGTTGTTCTCTACCACAAGGGCAATCACCACACTGCCTCTGTCGACTCCGTCTACTCCTCGCGTCCAGCAGCACGGATCACAGGACATCGTAATCGCCTGCTCTCGCGTTGTCACCTGGGTTGTCAACACCAGACATCAGTACTCTCCAGGGAAAAGCTCTGTACTTTGGCAGGGACTGGAACCTTGTTGCGCAATCCAGATCCACAACATGCACGACAACCCAGAGCATCAACATGCAATCACAACATCCAAGACCTCGCCTCCAGATGCACGTCGGCAGCACATCGGAACTGAGAAGCCACTTTTTTGCTGGCAACAGCCTTGGCAGGAGCTGAATTCTGGCTTACGTTTCGCTCTTAGGACCAGTCGCGCGAAAATCGCTTCCACACCCGCCCAGGTTTGTGGATTTGGGCTGCAGGGCTCCGGTGTTAAGGGCAGTTTTAGCGCTCTAAGGTTTGCAAGCGAAACAGCTTCAGGCCACTCGCTACAGGCTCTGGTGCTCGCAGCCATCGAGAGTCGAGTCACGGACACAAAAGAGGCCAGAAGTGCTTTCGCTTGTGCTAAAGCCCGTAGCCTCAGAAGCCGCCATTTCGACCCTTGGTCTTTGAGCACCCCGGCTACATCTACGCCGTTGGCGCGTGCTCCCTTGAACGATAACACCGCCAACATGGAGGTCGGAGCTTCAAAGACCAAAGAGGGTGTCCCCACGTGGAATGGGGACCCGTCCTCTTACCAGGACTTCGAGGAGGCCGCCCTCCTCTGGGAGCAGTCAGTGGCAGTGCAGAAAACATACCTCTGCGGGCCACGACTGGCCGCCGAGTTGGGAGGCGCCGCCAAGGAATGAACGACTGCATCACTCGGAAGAGTGAAGTGTACCTGAGGGCATGCCAGGCACTACGTCGAGTTGCTCCACTTCATAAGAAGAGCCAAGGGACCACAGGCCGAATGTGGAGTCGACGGAGCAGCAGTGACTACTACTCGAACTACCCCGACGCGGAGATCGAGGAGCCCGAGGACACAGGTGATGGACAGGAGGCCCAGGACGGATCCACCACGACAGCGAGTACTACCAGACACGATGACCAGTGGAATGCGTGGAATCCTGGAGCTACACGGAGGTGGAGCATGGGGACGCTAGGCGTCCCATGAGCCAGAGGACAGCCTTCCAGAACTCCTCCCGGACTTCGTGCAGGGATGGTATCTCCTACACGACGCCGGCCTGGCCCACATGTCCAGGAACCTGGTGATGACCGCCCTCCAGGGTGACTTCAGCTACATGAAGGTTGCCAAGGAACTCAGGAACCAGTTCGGCGACGAACCCAAGAAGCGGGACTTCACGAAGAACCCGGTCTACATGGAGGACTACCAGGACTCCGGCGACTACCCGGACGGCGACACCTACGAGGTCGAAGACATCGAAGAGCTGGACGAGGACGATAAGGCGATGTGGAACGACGCCGAGGAATCGGCGCAGGAGGCCATGGCAGGGCTCCAAGTGGCGAAGAAAACCTTGAACGAAGCGAGGTACAAACAACATGCTGTGAAGATGGCACGCCAATTCTACACGCCCAACATGCAGCGACCTCAGCGACCAAGAAGCAGCGGAGATGGAACACCTGCCAGAGACGATTCGAGAATGACATGCTTACGCTGTGGAAAAGTTGGCCACAGGGTGGCTAACTGCAGCCAGCCTCCCCAAGCAGCCAAGGTGACCGACGAAGTGCCGGAGGACAATCCTACCTCGTCGTTCGTATGTTACTCCGAAACCGAGAACCTGGCGATGAGCGTGGGTATGAGCACTGATGAAGCGGTTAAGAGAGGCATGGCAGTGATCGATGGTGGGGCGACAAAAACATTGTCGTCGATTGCTGTGCTTGAGCACATCATGAAACGCAACGTGCAGGAGAAAGGCTTCGACGGCTTGGTGGGTATGAGCTTGCACTCAGGACCGATGCGCCTCAACAGTGCAGCTGCGCCTGGACGCAGCCGAAAAACGAGGTGAGTTGACAGTGCACGGTCCCGATCGAGGAGAAGGCCCCTGCTGCTCAGCATAGACGCGCTCCGGAAGCTCGACGCAATCATAGATTGCAAGAACGATCTGATTTGTTTTCGGGCCTTAGATCCGCGAAGGCTCATCAAAGTTGAGCGGTCGCAGACAGGCCACCAATTGTTGCCTTTGACGAGTGACATTTTTAAAAACTCAGTGTGGGCAAGACAGGCAGTGCCAAGCCTGTCTGAGTATGCCTCCACGTCAGCCTAGGGACAACTCCTCCGTTTTCCAGGTCCCGAAGGAAAAACGGTGGACGAGACGTCTCTGGGACAGGGGAATGTAGATACTTCTGACTCTGGGGTTAAAGGGTTTAGAAGTGCTCTTGAGGGGAAGTGAGTGATTTAGGAGTGCAGGGGAATAGATCACTTCTTGCTGTGAACACACCACATGTGACACGGCAGCAGCAGACGCAACAGCGCATGTCGAATATGACGGTGACTGCAGCCACAGGGGATATCAAACCCGCAGACACTAGATTGCCCTCGCCGACTTCCTCTCACAGGTCGACACATGGCGAACCTCAACAAGATGACCAAGGCGGCGCTGCAGGACGAGCTGTTCGAGACCTATGGGGAGAAGGCGCCGACGAAGTGGACCAAGTTGGAACTCAAGGCTCGCATCAGCGAACTTCGGGGCGACGAGGAAGTGGCCCCCACGTCAGGTTCGATCTTGCAGGACCGCACGAGGGACCTGAGGAAGGCGGCGAAGAAGAAGAGCGACTTGATCGAGTTCTGCCGCAGCATCAAGGTGGAGTTGAACGGGAACGAAACCATGGAAAGCCGAGCGCTACGACGTCTCCAGGAGACGTGCGGGCGGGACCGCAGGACTATGTCGGCTTCGGCAAGTACAGCCATCTCCAGTACGTCAACATCCTGACCGGTTACGAAGAGTACGGGAGATGGGCGAAGCAGATGTACAAAGAGGACCCGGAAGGGACCGGGGAATCCAGCACTGGAGAGTATGATCCAAGAGCAGAACAAGCGGATGGACCAGATGGCGAATGTGATCGAGTTGCTTCGCACCGAGCTGACCGCGTCTCGTGGCGAAAGACCCCGCAAGGGAGCCGAGCGCCGTGACGAGGCGAACGGGCAGAAGGAAGAGGATGCCTCCATGACGGAGGGCTCTTATAGTCTGGTGTCAGACCCGGGGACCCAGAGGTCCACGGAGAAGTGAGGTCGGAAACCGACCACGGGCCGCAGTACAGATCCTCTGTCAGTGCCTCGGAACAGCTGGCACAACAGTTGACGTCTTCTTCTTCCAGGCACACGCCGCTTAGTGCGACACGGGCCCAGCGACTGGAGGAGCAGTCGTGGAGCCTAGTGCCAACTCTTTTCCAGGATCTGATAGGATATGAGCGACCCGTGTTGATGGAATGGAGCCGTCAGCCCGACAGCTCTTCCGCCAATGAGCTGACGAAGGAGACTGGGAAGGAATACCCGGGAAAATACCATCAGAGCTGGGACAGCGCGTCTTGAGGATCTGATGAGGGAGTGTGCCGTGTTAGAGAACAGCTGGAACTTGAGAATGGTGACGGTCCAGGGTTGTATGGTGAACTTGAGGAACCACCGAGGTGAATTAGCAAGGCAGGGCTGGAGTGTGATGACCACGCATGACAGGATGGCTCGCATGTTGGATCTTCCATGTAGATGCCCCAGAAATGTGAAGCATGAAAGGGCCGAGGGTAGAGGCAGTGGCTACACTAAAGAGCTGGTACACCGCGTGTGCCGAGCACTTCTCCAAGAACACACACACCATGAAGTACTTGAAGAGTGCCAGGGCAGGGCCCGCTTGCTTGAGGGTTCCGGAGAAGGGGAGCTTTGTGCGTGTGCTGAAGTGACTACTCCTTTCCAATCCAGGAAGTGCGCGGCTTGTCTACCCAGTAGATATCAGTGTCTTCACGAAGAAAGCCCCAATCCTGAAGAAGATGACCCTGAAGTAGGAGAGGAATAGTCTTGCATGTTTTCAGGTCTTGAGCTTCAGCAGGTTGAGGCGGAGGCTAGGAGACTACAGGCCAGTGGAGACTACAGTCATGAATCATGTGAGGCCCTGGTTGCGAAGTTACCTAGCAAACGCAGCCAACAACATCGGAATGCCATGGTTGACCAGAAAACGGATACCCTCTTGCTAGGAGTGTACGCGCATGGTAACCACTATGGAGTGACGAACTGGACCCGGAAGTTGCCCCATAGCTGTAGGTACCTGCGGAGTTACATGAAGAAGTGGTCCCCTGAAGCGGTACATGGTAGCACGCTGGTGATCAACAAGAATTGCAAGCATGGCATGCATAGGGACGTCCACAATCAACCAGGCACCCGGAACTACTCCATAGGCGTTTCAAAGTACCAACAGGGTGAAGTGTGGCTGGAAGGCCCAGGGCCAGGCCCCAGTTACAAGACTGTTACGAGGCAGACGCCAACTGGACAGCAGCTCTCGGGACACCTCAGACCCATGAGCCAACAAGTAGTGTCGTTTGATGCGCATAAGTGGCATGCTACACAAGACTGGAGCGGCACACGATGGATCATAACGGCGTATACTAGCAGGGGCATTCAACACGTGGAAACCAAGAAAGGAAGTGGTTGCGACAACATGACTTTCCTTTGCCTCCAGCAAAACCGCCAAGCCCTGAGGAAAGGAAGGAAGGAGAGGAACAAGCGATGGTAGGAGAAAAGGGGGGGTGGAAAACACAGCAAGGCACAGGAGGACGAGTCCATCAAGAAGAAGCTGTATCTCCTACACGCCGCGACGGGACATGGATCAACACATCACCTGATAGATGCCCTGAAGCGTAGGAAAGCCAGTCCTTTGGTCCTTCGTCTGGCACAGGAATTCAAGTGTTCAATATGTCAGGAAAAAGCCCGAGTGCAGCCGAGGCAGACGGCCTCGCTAGAACCCATACCCCCGAAGTTCCATACGATCACAGCGGACATTGGGCACTGGGCACATCCGGCTACAGGCGAACATCAGAATTTCATGGTGGTTGTGGATGAAGGGTCCAGGTTTCGGATCTTGAGTTCAGCGCCTTAGTGAGCCTCTGTTGCGCGGTCCAGTCCGCGAGACCTTTTTCGGCTTCAGCTCTTCTCTTCGTTTCTTGTTCGAACGTTCCTTGGGGCTGGTTGAGGATCACTTCTTCAGGGAGGTTTCCTTCGTGAGGTAAGAATCTACCTATAGCATCAGGAGCCTTTCTTAACACATGTTGCACTGGCGAGTACCCTCGGACAGCTTCCCTCTGATTGAACACAGAAACAGCCATACTCAAAGCTTCCTCTGAGGTCGCGGTAGGATCAGTCTCACATATCTTAGACATGAGAAGCTTCAGACCCTGAACTGCTTGTTCCGCCAGACCTATCTGCCAGTGCGCCTCACCAAGAATCACATGATGATATATACTGTGGCGATCGCAGAAACTCTCCACAGTGCTGGACCTGAAGCTGCCTGCCGGATCCAACCTCAAAGTCTTGGGCCTTCCAAACACCTGAAACCATCCCTCCTGCAAGTAGTTGATACAAGCCGCTGAAGTGGGTGCCTGCTTCTGCCCTTGTTTACTTCTGGAGGACTCAAGAGTCGGGACGTCATAAGAAACAACCGGGAACAAACCAGGGGAGGTTCTTAGGCCCAGCTAGAATACTTGCCATGGAAACCCGCAGGGATGAGACAGGCCACAGTCGGCCCGCACATGCGATATGGTGCGTTAGGGGAAGGAGCCTGCTCAAGTCGTCCTGAACAGTTGAGGCCGGACAGCGATAGGGAGGAACTCCTAGAGGCCCTGGGTCCCGAGCAAACAGCCCCTTGGACCTTCAGCACAGTGGCGGAAGAAGTAGGTGGAAACAGCTACCAAGACCTGACCCAGGAGACCCCAAGCGACCAAGAATGGTTGAGGGCCCAAGACCCCGAAGAAGAGCACCAGCCCACTAGGCATAGGATCAGTCGCAAGAGGCCCAGTCCCCAACCAGAGAACCCGGAAGCTCGTGATCCTGAAGACTGGGAGGATGTAGAAGGCGGCGAGCCGAGCCAGCCTAGCGTGGTCCGAAGAACCTCAGCCTACGTAGGACCGAGACTCCAGGAACCTGAGTGTGCCAACTGGTGGGATAAAGTTGCAGTATCCGCATGGTCAGCTGAAGCAAGCGCGTACTGGACCGAGGAGCAACGAGCGGTAGAGATCGAGATACCTTTGCCTGAATCACGTAGGGGACAGGAACACATTTGAGTGTTGAAAGAAATAGGAAAGGGCATAAACTCCTGATACAAAGGTGCGACAACGAGGACATGCAACTGATTGCGTGGGTAGATGCGGCTAGTCAGAACAGGTTGGACGGAAGCAGCACTCAAGGTATCTTCATTGGCGCTGCTTCTCGGAAACTGTTTCATGGCGAGGTAGCTGCCGCTAGCTCCATTAGCTGGCATTCCACTCGCATCGAGCGGAAATGCCGGAGTCCTGGAGCTGCTGAGACGCAAGCAGCGGTGAACGGCGAGGACGCGCTGTTCTACGCGAGGTTTCAATGGTCAGAGATCCTACATGGTCCATCGAGACAGACAGATGGCTTTCTGATCACAGACAGCAGGAACGTCTACGACAAACTGCAGACGGACATGTTGGTGATCAAGGGGGCGGAGAAAAGATCGAACATTGAACTGTTATCCCTGAAGGAAGCCCAGCAGAGCTCCAACTTGGTCATTCGCTGGGTACATTCAGAAGCTCAACTGGCAAATTCTTTGACAAAGTGCAGGGGCAATCAAGAGATGGACCTGTACTACAGAATGAATTTTGCTTGGAGAATAGTCGAAGACAGTGAGATGATGTCGGCACGCCGCCGGAAGTTTTAGGGCCTGCAGCCGTTACAACAACATACACAGCGGGAAGTGATCAGTTGTGTCTTTGGAGAAGAGCACTTTTAAACTCTTCAAGGGGAGCAGGGTGGCATGCAAGCGAAACAGCCTGAAGCCACTCGCTACAGGCTCTGGTGCTAGCAGCCATCGAGAGTCGAGTCACGGACACAAAAGAGGCCAGAAGTGCTTTCGCTTGTGCTAAAGACCGTAGCCTTAGAAGCCGCCATTTCGACCCTTGGTCTTTGAGCACCCCGGCTACATCTACGCCGTTGGCGCGTGGAAGGTTTAGGGGTTGGCGGGGCTTGGCCGCACTGCTCACTGATCGACATGAAATTCGCTGTCTTTGTACTCGTTTCGGCGCAGGACCTGCTCTGGCGTCAGCTGCCGGCGTCTGCAGAGCCCCGCATCCACAGCTACCAGCTTTGCGATGAATTTGATGTTGGGCAGCCGCTGCTCTTCGATCCTTGCAAACGTTGCTCGCTTTTGTGATTTCTAGGCTTGGCTGTCAACCGCAGAAACAAGTCCAGGCCCAGGAGCAAAGGTGGCAGGCGGCACTGCACTTGGACCTTTCCCCAATATTGGAGTTCTTGTCTTTATTCTGTCGGGTTATGCTACCAACCCATAATCTTAGCCCTATAAGCCCTAAGCCATTCTTCTCCACAGTTCTTTGGACACTGCCGCACCTGCTCCCCCCAAATTATCTCCGATGGGTAGACGTTCACGACCTGTGCCGGAGGTCGCGACACAAAGGCCATGGCGTCAGTCTCAAGGCATAAGGCAATTGCACACCGAATGCTTCTTAGGGTCTGTTACTGGGCAGCGGTAATGCGGCAAGACTGGTACAGCATGCCGTGCAAGCTCTCCGTTGTAAGTTTGCGCTGTGACTCGCCGTGTCTGCGCCCCGGCTTGAACCGGGACATACCGGGACTGCTGATGCGGAAACTTCGTCGAATACCATCTGAACTACGAAAATGCAGCATTCATTTCCACGAACTCAGCTTTCCATATGCAATTAAACCTGCAACATGTACTGAAATTCTGGACTCGATGCTACTCAAGCTCGCACGGACAAATCCCTGCACGCCAACGACGAGCGGCCTTGCAGCGATCGGCCTGGCGGGGAATTCCGGTGTGTTGGAGATTGGGGTTTGGAGTTCAGGGTAAACGGGCTCGCTCCATCGTCGCTTTTTCAGGCGATCCGCGAAAGTAGCATCCATCCCTTGGGGAGACTGCAGAAGTTGCAGAAGACACACACACACACACAGAGGGGAAGCGAGGGTCGAGGCATATCAGTCAGGCCACAGTTCTGTGGATCGACCGTTGCATCTCATTCAAGATGTCCTCTGCTCCCATGCGCTTGCTCTGCGTACGTCCCTCATCGATCGGTGTGAGGGTTCGATTTAGGAATTTAGGGTCCTGATAGCTTGTCGAAGTTAGCCGCTAAATCGACAGGCCTATCGGCTAGTCTTCCGCCATGATGAATTCCGGATCCCGGCAAAGATTCTGCATGCTTGCATCTGTATGCTCGACAATGGATGTGACTTGAAGAAGATGATTCGGCAAAGGGCACTGCAAGGACGGAGGCCAAGAGACATGATCTTCTGCTGGTTGTTGGGACCTCATTTTGTCAAGTTGCTCCTTGCCCCACTTGGAACAAGTCTCGTCAATGTCCAACAGCTGCTCCCTGAAGCGATGGATTACCTCCACTCCACTCTGCATGCCAGATTTCTCGAAAGAGCACTTCCAATCCAGTAGCTTCTCGTTCACCTCGCTGAGGTATGCCAGGAAGGCCTTCTCAACTTGGTTCTGAACGAGAACGTCACGAAGAAGGTGCTCCTCCAGGATAGCCTCCTGGAGTCCGCATGCCTGCCGCAGCACGCCGTTGACCAGATTTGTGGCCTCCTGCAAAGCACGTGCATCGTAAGGCACAACGAACGGCCTGAGCTGATGCAGAAGACTAGGAGGAAAAACTGCAGAGGCTTTGCTCGTTGGTGCTTGTGAGGCGCTGATGGCCCCAACCTCGGCGGCTTTGAACACCAGAAGACTGGAAACGTCCTTCCACAGCCCTAAACGTGAATGCTCCACGACTTCGGACGCCTCAGGCAGCCTGCTCATGCCTTGCGCCGTCTTGAAGGCTGAGAATGATTGCACACATTCTTGCAAGGCCTCGTCAACCTCAATGCAATGCTGCACGAAGGCTTCCTCCGCCATGATGGATTTCAGATCCCTTCTAAGGTTCTGCATGCTGTCTAGAACCTTCTTCGACTTGCGCTCCCGGAGACTGGAAACGTCCTCCCACAACCTTGTACATGCATGCTCCACGACTTCTGACGGCTGGGGCAGCCTATGCGTGCCCGGAGCCATGTTGAACGCTGAGAATGAGAGCCTACACTCTTGCAAGGCCCTGTCTACCTTCAGGCAGTGCTGCACGAAGGCTTCTTCTGCCATGGTGGATTCCAGATCCCGGCAAAGATTCTGCATGCTTGCATCTGTATGCTCGACAATGGATGTGACTTGAAGAAGATGATTCGGCAAAGGGCACTGCAAGGACGGAGGCCAAGAGACATGATCTTCTGCTGGTTGTTGGGACCTCATTTTGTCAAGTTGCTCCTTGCCCCACTTGGAACAAGTCTCGTCAATGTCTAACAGCTGCTCCCTGAAGCGATGGATTACCTCCACTCCACTCTGCATGCCAGATTTCTCGAAAGAGCACTTCCAATCCAGTAGCTTCTCGTTCACCTCGCTGAGGTATGCCAGGAAGGCCTTCTCAACTTGGTTCTGAACGAGAACGTCACGAAGAAGGTGCTCCTCCAGGATAGCCTCCTGGAGTCCGCATGCCTGCCGCAGCACGCCGTTGACCAGATTTGTGGCCTCCTGCAAAGCACGTGCATCGTAAGGCACAACGAACAGCCTGAGCTGATGCAGAAGATTAGGAGGAAAAACTGCAGAGGCTTTGCTCGTTGGTGCTTGTGAGGCGCTGATGGCCCCAACCTCGGCGGCTTTGAACACCAGAAGACTGGAAACGTCCTTCCACAGCCCTAAACGTGAATGCTCCACGACTTCGGACGCCTCAGGCAGCCTGCTCATGCCTTGCGCCGTCTTGAAGGCTGAGAATGATTGCACACATTCTTGCAAGGCCTCGTCAACCTCAATGCAATGCTGCGCGAAGGCTTCCTCCGTGATAGATTTCAGTTCCCTGCAAAGAATCTGCATGCTTGCGTCTGTATGCTGGATAACCGGTGTGGCCTGAAGAGGGTGATTCGGCACGGGGCAGTGCAAAGACGGAGGCCAAGAAACATGATCTTCGGCTGGTTGTTGTGACCTCATCTTGTTAAGTTGCTCCTTGGCCCACCTGGAAAATGCCTCGTCGATGTCCAACAGCTGTTGCCTGAAGCGATGGATTACCTCCACTCCACCCTGCACGCCAGATTTCTCGAAAGAGCTCTTCCAATCCAGCAGCTTCTCGTTCACAGTACTGAGATATGCCAGCAAGGCCTCCTCAGCTTCGCTCGTGCCCGTTACGTCGATCGTCGCCAGACCCTTCACGGCCCAGAACTCCCGGCCCATGGCGTTGTTCACTACCACAAGGGCAATCACCACACTGCCTCTGTCAACTCCGTCTACTCCTCGCGTCCAGCAGCACGGATCACAGGACATCGTAATCGCCTGCTCTCGCGTTGTAACCTGGGTTGTCAACACCAGACATCAACACTTTCCAGGGAGAAGCAGATCCACAACATGCACGGCAACCCAAAGCATCAACATGCAATCACAACATCCAAGACCTCGCCTCCAGATGCACGTCTCCACCACATCGGAACTGAGAAGTCACTTTTTTGCTGGCAACAACCTTGGCAGGCGGGCTGTAGAGCTCTAGAATTAATTCAAGGCTTTTCCAGCTCGAAGGTTTAGGGATTTGCGGGGCTTGGCCCATTGCTTGTACTCAGTTTCAGCGCAGGACCTGCTCTGGCGTTAGCTGCCGGAGTCTGCAGAGCCCTGCATCCACAGCGACCAGCTTTGCGATGAACTTGAGATTGGGCACCAGCTCCTTTTCGATCCTTGCAAGTGTTGCTTTCATCTTTTGATTTAGGCTTGGCTGTCAACCGCAGAAACAAGTCCAGGCCCAGGAGCAAAGGTGGCAGGCAGCACTGCACTTGGACCTTTCCCCAATCTTGGAGATCTTGTCTTTATTCTGTCGGGTTAGGCGTATACTGTATACATCTGTATACTGTATAGTAGTATAGTTACCAAGTCATACTCTTAGCCCTAAGCCGTTCTTCTCCATTGAAGCGCCTGCTGGCCCCAAATGATCTCCGATGGGGCAACGTTCAGAACCAGCGGCATTCGACGCGGCTCCAAAGGGCGGAGCGGATCCACCCGTGACGCGGAAGTCATGGCGTGTTGGGCAGCAGTAACAAGCAGCGACGACTTATTCCGTGTATTTTGCACATTTTGTTGGCTTCCTACTGTTCAGGCTTGGACTTCGGAAGATTGAGTGCGGCTGCGGAAATTTACGGTCTGGCGCTCGGGATCTGTTTACGCGCTTTCTGGAGATTATGTTGAGGATGCCACTCTAGCAGATGAGAAAGAGACCGTCAGCCAGGGATCAAATTCCTGAAAATGCTTGAAATCCTGGCATCTATGGCAGCGCAGGGGCATGGAATTTTGAGGAAATTTGCTCCCTGTCGATATTTTCGCATCCGACGTTGCGAAAATGCTACAGGCTCAAATTTCGCCAAAATTTCTGAAGCCCGAAATGCAAAAATACTGGCAGGGATCAAATTCCCCAAAATCCTGGAATCTATGGCAGCGCCTCGGCAAGCCCCAGTCCCAGAGAGCAACTTCGATGCCGGCAAACAACAGACCACCAGAGATGGACATGAACCTCAAAGCCAACAGAGACGATGTGAATGTGTGCAGGAACCGTCATGAGGAAAAGCAACAAAGTCATTGACATACACCAAGTGGAAAGCAAAAAGAAAACGTACTTTCAGATGGAGCAACAACGTGTGGATGGACAGCTGCAGGTCTCCAAAGAGCCTTGCCAGCGCAGCGGCCTCCTGTGGGAAGTGTGGCAGTTGTGAGTCTGGGAGCTTCAGGAGCTCTTGGAGTGAGGGATCGGTGGGGGGAATTTATCACATTCCACAATCTGAAACGCCTAAATCATCCTACCTCTCCATCTAAGTGTACGTTGCACTGGAAGGCTCGCACGCACCGCCCTCTGCATGGAGATCTTGTCATCGTCGAAAATGCAGGGTTCACCGTCTTGAAGGCTGAAGTGCCACTTGCCAAAGCGAGGATACTTGATGGGAGCTGCAAGATACTGCAAGAATCTCAACCTCCTCGCCCTGATTGTGGTTCCGCCGATCCGAGAGTGGTTCCGGCACTCACAGTTGGACTGCAGCAGACAGTAAGGTGGTGTGACTTTGGGATGAGCGCTTCTGAAGGATTTGACGCGCAACCCTCCCAGTCCGTCCTCCGGCAAAAAGGCGTCAGGAGAGGTGACCAGTGCACGATTTACAGCCTCTGTGAAAGCTGCGGCGAACCTTGGTAGTTTGGCCGCGGATTAACACATGCTGCACGATCAAGTGCACATGTATACTCTCAAACTGTCTCAACCTCTGTTCCAGCCATTCAAAGGCTGTTCTGTGTCTTTTCGAATCTGGGCTTGTTGACTGCAGGAACATGACTAAAGTGCAAGGAGTGAGTTTCAATGTGCCCGCGCTCAGTTTCGGTGCTGAGTTTCATGGCGGAGTTTCGGAACATGATGGGGGCAGTTTTGGTGCAGGAAACACTGCCACGCCCAGCCCAAAAAGCTACATCCAGCGTGCAAAGCCACAACACTGGCCAACCTTCACGAAAGCGCTGTCTGGAGCCCAACTTGAAACCATGATGTCACCGGAAGGGCCTTCGTGGGCCCAACTTGAAACCGTGACTGCGCCGGAAGGGCTTTCTGGAGCCCAACTTGAAACCATGCTTTCACCGCCTCTTGCCAGCAGGATTCTAGGCTTGAAGCCGCGACCCGCGAGCTCAAGCGAGCGCGAAACAGTCAGAAGATCGCCCTCAAGTTCTACCAGGACTGATGAGGAGACATTCCTGTCTGGCAGCATTTGACCTCGGGGATGAGGCTGAAGCTTGAGCTAAACATGCTGGGATCTAGTCGGGTTGTTCACCGGGCTGCCTGCATGCGAGGACGCCTATGGCGCTCTGTTCGAGAAAGCTGAAGCCGCCTGACTTGAGCAGCCATGCGGGCGACAAAGGCAATAGCCGGGCTTCGGGATGAGCACAGAATTCGTCTCGATCCTGCGTATATCGGAATACCACACCGACAGGTTGCGGCGTGGCAGGAAGAACATGTATGTACATGTGAGGATGGCGCACAGGCTTTCAATAATTGCCCGGTGTCACATCTGAGCAATATCACATCGCACTGAGTGAAACTAGCAACTACGGCCACGGTAAATTGCGCTTCCGCAATTGTGGATTTCTGAGGCAGAGGCTCTTCGTGTGACGAAATCCCACGACGGCAGCTGGCAATTATATCCTGCGCCGGCTTAGGCCTTAGGCTTGCCCCCCCCCCATGATTCACTTTTTGCATGGACGTATGTCCATGTATGTATGCACATACATATGTTTTTCACATATGTCTCTCTCTACATGTATGAAAATATACAGATATGCAGATAACATTTCGTCTATTTATGGCACATGTATACACATTAATAGAGTACAGACGTGTACACCTTTTATGTATCGATACTGCTGGCAGTAACTGTAGGCGTCGTGGTGTCGCAATACCAGCAGAAGCAGTAGCAGTAGCAGCAGCAGCAGCAGCAGGAGCAGCAGCAGTAGGAGTAACAGCAGCAGTAGCGGTAGCGATAGCAGTAGCAGCAGTAGTAGCAGTAGCAATAGCCGTAACACTAGCAGCAGCAGCAGCAGCAGCAGCAGCAGTAGTAGAAGTGGCAGCGGCAGCGGCAGTAGCACTAGTGGTAGCAGAGGTAGGTGGTAGTAGTAGTAGTAGTAGTAGTAGTAGTAGTAGTAGTAGCAGTAGCAGTAGTAGTAGTAGTAGTAGTAGTAGTAGTAGTGGTAGTAGTAGTAGTAGTAGTAACAGTAGTACTAGTAGTAGTAGTAGTAGTAGTAGTAGTAGTAGTAGTAGTAGTAGTAGTAGTAGTAGTAGTAGTAGTAGTAGTAGTAGTAGTATTAGTAGTAGTAGTAGTAGTAGTAGTAGTAGTAGTAGTAGTAGTAGTATAGTAGTAGTAAATTATTGGAAGAAGTGGTGTTTGTCGTAGTAGTAGTTGTCGTCGTACTAGTACTAGTACTAGTACTAGTAGTAGTAGTAGTAGTAGTAGTAGTAGTAGTAGTAGTCGTAGTAGTAGTAGTTAGTAAAAGAAGTAGTTTCGTCGTAGTCGTCGTCGTAGTAGTAGTCGTAGGAGCAGCAGTAGCAGAGTAGCAGTCCGCAGGCGATCAGTGGCAGTTCGAACCGGTTCGGCACTAGATTCTACGTGTTCCGAAGCACACCCGGCAACACCCTCCGCACTCGGTGGGACGCAGCTTTGCCAGAACCTTTTGCCTCGGGCGCCATCCACGCCATCCCCTACCATGTTTGCGCGTTGACCGCTGTGGGTTGCGTCACCAGTCCAATGCTTCCATGATGATACAAAGCCATTCGCCGATGGCTCTGATTGCGCATGCGGGACAACCACGTTGTTAGAAGTCAGGCTTGCTTCTCATGTGACTGGGACATGTGGAAATGGCTCACAAATGCAAAGATACCGGAATGTCGGCGATTGGATGCACGACATGCATGTGCGAACTGTGTCGCAGCTGCTCCCGACGGAGGATTGCACTGAATGTACTCAAGATACTAAATCCGATGCTAACCTCAGCCGTTTTCCAACATGACCATCCTCCAATAACCTGCATCATCCTGCATCCACAATCCCGCTTTTCTCACACACAGCGCGTCCCTCGCACGGACTTTGCCAGAAACCCGCACAACCTCGAACGATGAGCAAGGATTCCTTTATGCATGGCGAGTTGGGAGATTCAGTCTGCATCTTTAGGGCAAAAGATCAGCACTACTCGACTCGCATCTTGACATGAGCACATGCTGATTCGCCGAGTATCCCCAGGCAGCCACAACCACACAATTCAAGCTCCATTTCGAATCAGAACTCAATGGCTAATCGCAACGACACCATGAAATCGCGCCCTTGCCTGGAGCCGCCATGCGGCAGACCGCATACGTAGGGTCATTGCTGGGTGCCTTCTACGTCTCATCTCACCTCCAGGATCCCGGTGAAAGCGCTGCATGCATGCACCAAACAGATCTAGGGCTATAGGCAAACAAATACAAACAGTAAGCAACTATATGCGTGCACTCTGAACCCGGAACCACGAAAACCCCCCAAAAACCCAACATCAACGCCAAAAGGCTAGGAGCAGTCAGACCGGTGGCCTCCCAGGAGTGCGATACCATGCGTGAGCCGTCTCAGGATGTAAGGGCTCAGAAGGAAGTACTGGCTTGGGGTTCAAATATTTTAAGAATTGGATGTTTCAGGCTGAGGCTTCGCCTCAAAGGCCATGGAAAGAAGTCAGCTGGGACTACAGCTTGGGCCTGCTGAGGTCGATTGCAGCAGCTGCTGATGCCTATTCCGACCGACCACAGGACTTGCATCCCTATGAATCACAGTGCAACAGCTTGGGGGCATCGCAGAGCTTGAGCCATGGAGCAAGATTATCATTTTCAGTTGACGGCCCTCAGGCTCGCATCAATCTGTACAGCAGTCTTCTCTTGAACAAGCGATGGTGAAACTAGCAACTAGAAGGAGCACCATTGGGCCCACTAGGCTCATCACAGCCAGGGCGGCAGCGGAAGCATGAATTGCCTTTCCATGGCACTTTGTTGTTTGTACTCATGCCCTCTCCTGCTCACGGCGGCACAGCGTGCACTGGCAAGTTGGCTTCTTGTGTTTGTAGATGATCAAAGCAACTGGTAGACATGCAGCTTTCTGAAAGACTGCAACTTCCGGATGGTCCACAGCACCATAACAATCTTTGGTAACTGCAACAATGGAATTGAAATCTTTTGGCGGCTGTTTGACTTCAGCACAATACCTGTGTCTTGGGAAACATGAGCCCAAGACCACTCGCGCAAGGAACATGACCTTGCGACCATCTGAATCTTCGCTCGAGTAGAGGTCGCATTTGCTAGCGTTCGGCGCAAAGTAAACAGCACGGCCAAAAGATGAGCCTTTGTTCTCACCTGCTCTTTGCCATTCGAAGCCTTTGGTGCGTATGCTCTCCACACTGTCCCATGGGGTTCCATGGAACACTAGCACCTCGTTGATGTCCTCTGTTGAGGTCTGCGGGCGCCACACTTGGCGGTTGCCAAAAGGAGGCTCACACAACGGGGTTGTCTTCGCCTTGTTGCGCATGCGCTGACACTCTGCATCGTACTTCTTGCGCAAGTCCTCAGGAGACTCAACGAAGCTGATGCTAACAATTTCCAGTTCCGCTTTCTCGCACCACTCCTCGGAATTGTAAAACAAGCGAGAAGGAGCTAGTGAGGATTGGAACATGAAGTCAACAAGATGCCAATCCGCCGAGTCTTTGTCGAGTTCTTGTGCCTTCCAAGGGGTAGATGCATCTAGGTCTCCGAACAGCTGCAACATCTGCGGGCTCACGGTCAGGGACTGTCTCCAAGACCTGGCTTTCTGGACCCAGCTTGCCATGACTTTGTCCAAGTCCTTCTCAGATTCAACCGTCTTTCTCAGCAATTCCTCGACCTGAGCCTCTTCCATGCGTCCATACTCGGACGCAGTCTCCAGCAAGTGCAATTTGCTGATGTGCTGTAATACGAACTGCTTCAGGAACTCCTCAGTCATGCACTGCCGAACTTGCTGCTTCTTCTCGTTTACCCGGTTTACCCTTTTTGCAAGCTCGTCGTCCTTCTTCTGCATTGCTTTCTGCGTGTCATCTACAAGCTTCTGTTTCGCCGCCACCTCCACCTGGCAATTCTTCATCGCGGCCATCAACTCTTTGAATTCCTTCCTCAGCTTTTTAAGCTGGTCCTCAACCTGATGCTTGCTCTCTTGCATGAGTGTGAGCTGCTGTTCCTTTTTCGAAAGCTCCTCCAAGTGTCGAGCCTTCTCAGCCTGTCTTGCTTCTTTTTGGATTTGTAGCTCCACCTCACTCTGGCGAAGCATCTCATCCCGTTGAGCTAGCGCGGCTAGCTGCTGCCTGAGCTCCTCGCGCTCGTTTTCTGCGGAATGCTGTCCTTCACGGGCAGCACCCAATTCACCACGAAGCGCCTCCACCACCTGCTTCAATTTTGCAGCTTCCTCTGCACCATGTGAGGCTTGGTCTGCTGCTCGCACTTGCTGTGCCTGAAGCTGAGAGCGAAGCTGGTCGCTTGTCGCCATGAGCTGTCGTTCACTACTTTCCTTATCTATCAGCTCTTGTTGAAGTCTTGAGACGTTGTTCTGAAGCTCGAGGACCTTGTCAGGGGTGAAGCTCACAGAAACCAACCTGATGTCACGTTCATTGTTGCTACGCACGTTCCTCTGCTTCATCCGGCCGAAGTCTAGCTCCCAGCGGTCCTCTTTGAGGGTGTAGACTTTGGTCTGCCGCTCTTGATGGTCGTCCATTTGCCACTGCTGATAAAGACGGTTCACCGTCTCAGCTAGCTCTGCTGGGTAGGGCTGCCAGCTATCCACGTGGTTCATGAACTGCCATACCTCATGCTCTGCAAACTTCTGCTTGTGGCGGCGCAGCGCAGCACACTCTTGCACTGCTACAGCATGCTGTGCCTCCAGGCCGGACACTTGCCGGCTTAGCTTGGAGGCCTTGGACTGACTCGACTTCAGCTCAGAAGTGAGCTCTGCAAGTTGCTTGTCCAACTTGGCCCGAGAATCAGTAGCCTCCATGTAAGCATCCTTGTAGCGCCGTTTCTCTGCACTAACAGCCTTGAGCTGCTTTGAAAGTGCATCCATTTGCTGCCCCTGTGCGTTCAGCCTGCGCTGGATGCGTCTCACTTTACCTGTTGATGCATTTTCTTGGGTCATCTGCCGGAAATCGACGAAGTAGGTGAACTTTCCGGACTTGATCTCCCAAACTTCGTGATCCTCAGCATAGTTGCGCTGCTCCCATTCGCCGAATCGCCTTTCGAGATCCTCTGAGCATTCCTCTGAGAACGGAAGAGAGTCATTACCTTGCTCGTAATACCACGTCTGCATCACCATGGCCAAAATGGAGCTGTGTCGAGAAATCTTATGATGACACTGCGGAGCGGAGTGACTGAAGTAGAAAATAGTTGGTGCAGAAAGGCATGCCACTGCGTCACGTGACCTGTGTATGGGCCAGCAGGCTCAGCGTGCAACATGCAACAACTCTCTCATGCACCGCCGAGGGCAAAGCGTGGAGAACACACCCGGTTGGACACGAATGCTGTTGGAAACACCTTCGCAACGCTTGCGGACATCGTAAAGCAGCATGTTTTCGCAATCCTTTTGGTCTGAAGCCACATCACCTTGGTCAAAAAAGGCGGTTGAACTTCATCCCAAACGACCGCCTCCATCTCTACACAGATGCTATCATATCATGTAATATAACAGTAAACCTCCAGGTGGGTACCTGTCAGGAGACCGTGCCCTCGCGGCTTCGTGCTAGTTTGCTTCTGTTCTTTGAAATGGTGTGGCAAGAAAGCACACCCTCGTCAGGCTTCTGCCACACTCTTTGGCGGCAGTGAGCGCAGCTGAGAGCGTCCATGTGCCACGATCAAAGGCTTGGCATTCAGTATTTCGGTCCCTGAATAGCTACCACTTGCGAACGTTCGGCTTGGAGGCTGGCTATAGCAGTAGCACTGAAGAAAGGCCTTCCCGCCACTGTGCTTGCGGAATATGACAATGGAAGGGGGCCACGTATGAGAGCGCGAGGAGTTGTGCGGCCCACACTTGTGCGCTCACGACGGCGGAGGAACCGTTGCGGGATTTGCTTCCAGGCTGCTCTTCCCTTGCCGATGAAATTCCCCGGCTCTGGTTACACCGCGACGTGCTGGCAGCTTGCTCAACAAGCAAGCTTGGTACGCTAACGGGCAAGAGGCATGCCAGGAACCCCTTCAGGGTGCCATTCAAGACTATGACTATGACTAGGACTGACAAGGCTGTCGCTGAGGCAACGTCTGCGGGCTCAAATCCCATCCTCGTCATTCCCCTTCCCTCCCCCCTCCCGCCCCCCGCCCCCATGTAGACTCACAAGCCCTCATGCCAAAGTCCATGGGCTGGAATCCCTCCCCCGGCATATCGCCCTCCCCCCCCCCCCGCCCCCCGCGCCCCCCCACCCCCACAATGCTGAAGGAAAACTGGCTGTTTTCTGTCGACATCTGTCAACAGACGTACGTTGATGACACAGCATCTCGCAACTGCAGCCCAATGGACCGCAGAGTCGACCCTCGATGCACGAATACGAATAACATCGAGTGCACGATGGGAATTGCAGGCCTGTGAATACAAACTCAGCGGCATCACATGATTTCCATGTGAATCTGCAGGGAATCGGCCCTCGATGCACGAATACCAAGAACATCGAGCGCACATTCGGAATTTCAGGAGTTGGAATATACAAGCAGGATCATCACATGCTTTCCGTAGCCACATCCCAACAATGTTTGGCACACCTCTTTTTGAGCCTCGCTATCGGTCCATATCTTGTCCCTTCTTGGTACGCTGCATCTGGTTTGCCACTGATCTGACCTTGGCACCCGCAGCTCTTGGCTGTCACGAAAATTGGCCGGAACTTCTCAGCTCAGGGCCGTCTTTGGATCTGCCTTCGCCGCCTGCTGCATTGGAGCAGAAGCTACGGGGTACCGTGACCATGCCGATTGATGCACCAAAGCCTACTAGAGAACCCATATTCGGCCGTACCTTCAGTCACCCACGCGCCTTGTGAATGTTCATACCACACACCCGAACCTACCATGTTTTTCCCAAGGTCCTTCAGAGTTTAAAGCGCCCTTCAGCGAGAGTGAGCAATGCCAGCGATGCCTCAGTGAGCCGCGCGGCATCAGTCAACGCCTGGTCCTTCCTGGGCTTGGCTGCAATGCAACGTGTTTCTTGGGGCTGGGGACAGCATGTGCTTATCGTTCAGCCAGCATCTCCTGAAGCTTTGCTCGCCTGTGCACTGTATTGCTCCCTCTGAACATACGGAATCAAGCGGCGAAGGTCGAGTAGGTCCGCGAATACACATGACACCTTGGCAAGACTCGTTGACAAAATCGAGGGTTCCGAAAATCCCCATGCTGCTTTCGATGCTGGGTTTTGCATCCAGCTACAGCTTTGCGCAATCCCTTTTTTGAATTCGCGGCAAAGCCGCCAGCTGCCGGAGATGTTCTAGTTGTTGCAGTTGCTTCTTTCAGAGAGCTCTTTGTTTCAATGCAGGGCTTTTCGCGCCAGCTGGTTATATGTGAGATCCCAAACTTAGTGGACCCTCAGCAGCCTTAGTAGTGAGCACTGGGCCTGTGAAGTAGAATACAGGGACCAGGGAAAAATCGCGTCATGGGAAGACTTGCCAAAACGCGCGTTCGTAGACCCAGTTTGGCCAGGCTCCCTGCAAGCCCAAGCAAAGAACCCAAACAAACACAAGACTCAACACGAACAGAACCGGAGTCAAACTTTGGTTGTCTCGCGTGAGACTGGTGCCAATGAGCAAACGGCTTCGGGTACCAGTAGCGACTCCTTCGAGGGATGCGCTTGAACCGATTGCTGGGATTCCAGCGGGGTCGCCCAGAGTGGTTCACAGCTTGCGTGCCGCCCTGTGCATGCGGCACAGTCTTCGCAGTCGTCAAAACAAAACGCCTAACAAACTGCAAACCGCACCCCAAACCACATCACCCACCTCCCTCCCACCCACCCCCAAATCCACCCAGCCCCACATGCACGGACCACACGGAGACATTCGACGGTCGCCTGCGGCACCAGGATTTCCGCCTGGTACGTGGGATCTCCGTTGCTCATTGGAGCGCCAGTCCGGACCTTCGCGGCTGCCGCTTCTTGCCCGGCTCTCCAAAACAGAACACACGTTATCTATGTATCTTGCTTGCTTGCTTGGGGTATGGATCCCGAAAACCCCTTGGCACCCACATAAGTTCGTCTGGTTTTACCCCATTCGTGGCTACCTCTCTCTCGCTCGCTCACGGGAATAGGGCACGATCAAGTCCCTCGGGCGGATCTTCTTGAACGGGTTTCGGGGGGTGACAAACGAATGTAACTTGCCAAGGGGCTAAGGCCACAAAGTATGCTGCATACTCTCCAAGACATGTATTTTCCCACTTTGATGAATGCATGGTTCTGCGCAAATAAATATCATCAACACCATTGTTTCATCTCTCTCTCTCTCTCTCTCTCTCTCTATATATATACATGTATGTATGTATGTATACACCCTGAGAGAATGCCACGAGGTTTGCTCTCTGAGTCCAGAACGACGGCCAGATTCGTGTCTTCGACCTTGCATACGCAGCTTGAGGAAGGGAAGAGAGCTCGGTCTGGGTTTGGGATTAAAAGGAAGAATGAAACGTGTGTATACATGTATGTACGTATGTATGTGTATATAGTATATGTCAATATAGAATAAGTGGTGCTAGATAGATAGATAGATAGATAGGGGGTTAGCGGTATAGGGGCATAGAGCGCATCGACGCTCACGCGTTTATGGGCTTTAGGACTTTAGGATGCTTGAGCAGCAAAAGCTGAGGGCGTCGGCGGCGTCCCCGAGCTCGACGACCTTGGCCTCAAGCTTAGGAGACTCCCACTCCGGCAGCTTTCCGTGCCCACGCACAGAGGACAATGTTTAAGATAGGAGCCTGAATATTAACAATTACCAATACTATTTTGGGGGTTCCTTATTATAGTTTAATGAGCCCCAAAACCCTGTTCTAACGATTTGTGTAACCCCTTGAGTCGAGCATCGGGAGGGCCCTTCGTAGACTCGCCGGCCTGTGCGTCGACTTGCCATGTGACAAGTGAGACCGTTGAAGTCAACTCGCAGGTTCTTCGGCCATCTAACTGCCAGATGTCATTGCGTCAAAACTGGAGTTGATTTGTCTAGCTGCTTCCCGTGGCCAGTCCTCAACTGTTATGGCCTTCAGGGCGCGCCTTTCCCTTCTTGCCAGTGGTACAGCATATCAGACTGAAGCAGTTCCGGCCTCTCGTGCCTCGCGCGACTTCAACTTGGCGACGGGCTTAGCAGCTGGAGATCGCGACTTGCTTCTCTTCGGCGACCTGCAAACTTGCGCACAAGATTCACACGGACTCTGTGGTACGTGCTCCTGCGTTGACCTGCACTGCCACGAACGAAGCTTCGAGCAGTGGGCCGTACAGTACCGCATACACTGATACCACCGGTACTCTGCACATGTCTGTACGAACCTTGACCACCTGACAAAATGCTCTTTTGCGCGGGGAGGCCAAGTGCCACAGGTCAGGGCACCAGCTGGAAGCTGTAGAGGCGATGGCTCCTCTCTTCCCCCGGCAAGCGCTCCAGAATCCAGGTGACTTGCTGCAGCTGGCCACTGAGGGGTCCGAGTTGCTCGGAGGGCCACTGCTCTGCGAGGCCCAGAGACTCATCCAACTGCTTCACACCCTGGCGCCGGTCCGGCTCGCCGGTGATGAGGATGGCAGAGTTTGCCCTGCCACTTTGCAAGAAGTGGCAAAGAGCACCCAGCACGCTTTGAGCGTGGTCGGCGTCGTAGATGATGTCAGCCCCTATGACAATATCAATGGTGTCGCTGTTGAGATCTTCGGGAAGCAGCCCTGAACTGACACAGCTCCAATCCAGATGCAATGTCGAAACTATATGCTCCAAGGAGTTCAACGCTATAGAACGCTGGCAGGCACAAAGGAGCTCTTTGTCGTAGTCGGTAAGCACGACTCTTTTGGCGCCTGCACGTGCACAAGCCAAGCCAACCACGCCCAGTCCGCAGCCTAACTCCAGAATCACCTTGTCAGCCACCTGAAGCCGAGGAATCTCCGCGGCTTCGGAGCCTCGCAAGAGTTTCAGGGCGGCTGTCGTACCATGCCAAATGAAGCGCCCATCGGCCATGGTCCAATCCAGAACGTGGCTGCCCACAGAGATCAACAGCTCCGGAGGGACTCCGAACTCCAAGGGGACTCTGAGGACTTCTTCCTTCTTGGCTGCCGAGATCTCCTCAATCAGCTCTTCTGCCAGGCTTGCTAACTCTTCCTTCATCAGCATGCGGCAAAGCCAGGTGGTCATACTGTCCACACCTAACTCTTTCGAGGCTGCGCCGTCCAAACGCGATGCGCGCAAGGCCCGCTCTCCTTTCCAAAGCTCCTGGGCCCTCATTTCCTCAAGCAGCTCCTGCAAACCATCTTGCAGAGCTTGAGGATTTCCTTCACGAAAAGCCATTGCAGCCTGCTGAAGCACTGGTACGAGCGCATCGCCCTCCTCTGCAATCTCTTGCATCGCGACCGTGGAACATACTAAAGTGGCGAAAGCCGCGTGACTCGGCGTTCATGAAGCATTGCTGGCTGGACGAACCAGGACGCACAAGTGCTGAGATTGTATTGTCTTCTTGTATTCCCTCGAAGCCTCGGCACCGTTTGATGAAGCACAATTGAGTTGCAGGACATGCCGCCGCTTCTTATCGGCCTTCAGAAACGTGTTTCGTGACATAGGCTATTCCTATTCGGCCTGCTCCTACCTGTGCCGGAAAATGACGCTTCGGCCGGCCGGGCGGGGGGCAAAGGTAACAAATAACAAAGCTGATCCACAGTTCCACTTCAGTGTTTCAAGCCTCGACAGTGCCTTGCCCCGCTTTCGAGGGGACGTCTGGCCTGAGACAATGGCATTGAATCCGCAATTCCGCCGCATGGCTCAAGCCAGGCATCCTTCATGCGATGAAGTGGCATGCTGCACCATCGCTTGGTTTTGTTTTCGCATGCTGGCCTCTCTTTGGGACCTATTGCTTGGATTGCTAAGCACAGCCGGCAGCAGCATCACAGATTTGTGCCAGTAGGTCCTGAGCACAGCACGCCAAGGACATTCTCTGAAGCCGCTGGCAGCTCGGGCCGTCCTGGGCCTTCTGTAACTCGGCCAATTTTGCCTCCCACCGCGCTAAAAGCAGTATGCGCAACAGCATAACGATGACAAGTCACGAACCAAACTGGTCTCAGAGTAAGGTAGTAGCAAAGACATACCCACAACAGTGATGACAGAAAGGCATGCCACGAGTACGAGGGCCCCCTTTGTGCGATGTTCAGGAGCTCCCCGCCTCACAGCTTCGACGTTTCTGTCGGAGCTCCTTCAAGAGCCACACGGCCGGGAGGGGGGTTCTTAAGGTTCTTGAAGCAGTTGACATGAAGAAAAGGGGTCGCACTACAGTCAGGGAATTTTACAGTCCATCTCAGGTTCCCTGTCTCGCATTGCAGCTCTCGCAATTCTCGCAACACGTACATTCCAGATTCCGGGTGGGGGCTCCGAAGGGTCGGGGATACAGAGCTTAGCGATTCTAGGACTACGGGGGCGTGGGGGCTGTGGGGCTCGGGTCTTCGGGTGCTCTGTGGTCCGGGTCCTCAGGCTCTTGCAGAAGCTGAGAGATGAGCTCGGGCTTGTACAACTCCTGCTCTTTCGGGACAGGGAAGGGCTGTACCAGTAGGGTTCATGCTGCCTTAGGGGGCCACATATGATCTCTCCAGCCAGGGCCGCCAGTTGAGCCAAGCCACGGAGATGCACTCCGCATGCAGGGTCTCCTGTACCGAATTGACCTCAGCTTTTGCAGAGCAGCTACTTGCAGTGATTTACAAGGGATGCCCCCAAGCGAAACAACAGAGGACGAGGCCATGAAATGCATGATGGCCTTAGGGACGGAGTCGATGATCTTTCCTGGATGCTTTCACAGTGCCCACCCATGGCCGACACAAAGGCTTTCATCCCGGCTTTTACTGCATGGGCAGCGGCTTTTCACTATCGTGAAATAAGACAGCAGCAGCGACCTCAGTTTCACATCCCGCGTTGAAGACAATTAGTCTGCTGCAGGCACTGCAGACGGATTGCTTCGCCCAGCTGCTTCAGGAGCTCCGTGTCCATGCGCTCCTTCTCCGAAGGCTCCCCCGCGGGGGTGACGACCAGCGGCACGGGCGGCAGCCGTATTACGTCCTCTCCACATCTTCTGTGCGCACATCCCAGTGGGACAGCATGCCACCAGTATCCACTCGGTACAGAAGTTCCGACACTGAGCATGGACTTCCACATCTCACTACCCCCTGCATTGAAATGCGTGCTATTCTGCGGCCGGGTCACCTCGTTCTGTGAGGGCTGCCGGCTTCCCATGGCCTGCCACTACTAGTCCTACTGCTACTCCTATTGCTACTGCGACTGCGACTGGGACTGCGACTGCTGCTACAGCTACTGCTACTACTGCGACTGCTGCTACTCCAACTATCTACTGCTACATACTGCTAATATGTACTACTATCACCACCACCACCACCACCACCACCACCACCACCACCACCACCACCACTGCCACCACCTGTTGCTCGCGCTCCTGCTCCTGCGGCTCCTGCTGCTCCTGCTGTTGCATAGTTGGAGAAGTGGTAGCAATATACACCATACAAAATGGCGATGACAGTCAGCCTGATTGGGCGAACTATGACGAGAACAAGAATGGAAACACGTTGTACCAGTAGTGCTACCAGGAACTAACCAGAACATCTAGCAGCAGGATCATAACACAGAAAACTATTGCCAAGAAACAGACATCACTATGTCAACTAAGAGCGAGATCTCAATCAGCGCCTCGGCTGCTGGAGGCGTCTCTGGCCGTGTGTCCTGGACACCTGGAGGAGGCACGGAAAGGGAGAACAAAAGCCCTAGGCCCTAAACTGAAGAGCGTACCCAAGCTCAGAGGCTGCTGCAAGACATGGCTCGCAAGCCCCCGATGAAGTCCGGGTGATCCACCTGAGTGTTGGGCATTTCGTTCACACCTCCACATCCGCCTGAAAGCTGACCTATTAACCTTGTACGTGGTGGACGCTGTTATGACTTTTTTTGAGGAGCCGCATTGATGAACTCTCTTTCGATCCGGATCAAGTTGGAGACCTTTGCAAGCAAACGGCTCCAAGACTCCAAAGCTGCGACAGAAGCATGAGCAAAGTAAGCAGTGAACGGCTTTGCTGTCCAGTATTTCTGCCACGGCACCATGTTGTGTGTCGGCTGCAGGGACCTTCGAATGACGCTGTGCGCGACTTCGAGAACCTTCTCGCGCAGTCCTGACTGCACAACGCGACATCGGCACTGCTACGGATGCTTTGCTCTTGCATGTACATCCTGGAAACCGTTGCAGGTCGCCGACTTCACCTTGCAGCAGCGCCTCAGTGCAAATCCAATTAGACGAGCAACGAGAGAAGCATCGCAAACGGGCCGGCACTCGGCCTGCCCGCAGCCAAGGCCACTTTGAGAGGCCAACTGCTTCAGCTCCTGTCGACAAGACTTTTACAGATGCAGTCGTGGGGGTATTTAGGTTGAGCGATGACCTGGGCTGCGACGACAGTACTTGCTGCCAAAACTCGCTAAAGTAATGCTCGGATAGCTCTCGTGACTACAATCCAGACACGATGACCCACTCCGCTCTGTTTTGACACGTCGCATCGTGACAAGAACTCTGCGGTGGATGGTGGCGGGGGCACAGCCCGCAGGACTTCCACGGAAACGGTCCGCCATTGTAGAGTACAGTTGCAGACGGGCTTATACGTGGCCCAATGCTTCAGCGAAACGCCTGCTGTGCCAAAAGCTGTTCTTCTCCTGTCTTACAACTTACGGAAGCTACACTCGACTTTCTGGCAGAACTTTAAGAATCCGGTTTGCGCTGAAGCTGGGCAATCCTCGTCAGGGTGCGCTTCCGAACTAAAGACGGAACATGTCAACTCTGTGAGGACTGCCTTCTGGAAGTGCGAATGTGTCGTATACAGCTTGGTGAGGAGTGCCTCAGCGCTCAGCTGCGGCGTGTCTTTCTTCGACTCACAAAGCTCTCGAATAACCTGCTCCACCATGCCAAAGTTTGCTGCGCCATCCTTCCCGGGGAACGCGTAGCAGGTGAAGAGGATCTCTTCCTGGAGGAGGGAATCAAGCTTGCGGAACTTGCGAGCTCCGTCGTCGCAGGACAGGACTCCACTGCCATCGATGTCGTTGCGTAGACGGGGCCAGGCAGGAATCGAATGTTGGATGGCAATCAGGCTGGCTTTGTTGCTCAGCTTCAGTGCCTCCTGCACCGGGTCCACGAAGTCCGGGTAGAAAGGACACGCCCAAGCTCGGCTAAGGACTCCTGCAGGTTCTTGGCATCAGATGATATCTTCGGGATGCTGGAAGTCGTGCCTCCTGGCAACTGCGCTTCGGACAATGGCCGTGTCTTCGAAAGGGCATTGTTGTCGATGAAAGCCACTTCCATCAAGCTGGGGTAAAAATTCTGCGCGCTGAGGTCAACGAAGAGGCCCAGGTTCATGAGGACGACCTGCATGTCGTCATCTTCAACGTTGCCACACACATTGCGACCGAACTTCTCGCAGCTGTGATAGTTCTCCCTCATCCCGGTCACGACGTCGGACTGCACCTGAGCGGCTGCAATGCTTACAGGACCGAGTCTAACATATCAGTCTAACATATCAGAGTGGTAGCATTACGTATCGGTTCTCCACACCAATATTGCATGAAACGTGGGTATCGGTTCTGGAATTTGATACCCGGTTCACACGAATTCATCTCGGCCCTCTTACAGGTACAGTAATAATTGCAGAAAACCAAGAAGCCCGAATCATGCTGCTGCGCACCTTCTAGTAAGCATTCCGAAGTTGACTCAGTCGCGTGGTGTCGCTGTTGACGATGACCGCCAAGTAGTCCATGATGACTTGCGTGTCCAGAATCACGCGGAAACGACCCATAGCTTGCCACACCACCCTGTCTCGCATCAGCAGCTTGGAGTCCTTGAAAGCCTTGTGCAAGCTGTCTCTGTCGACGAAGCCCACCAACCTTTTATGCGCTGAAGCGCGATGCTGAGCTCGGGAGACAGGTTCATTCTGTTAGCTCTACCTTTCGCCGAGAAGCACTTTCCCTCGAGCCTTCAGTGATGCATGCAGCGGGCAGGCTTCTGTTCGGATCTCTCGCATCCCACACCCTGCTGGCAGGCTCATGGCTAATTCAAGAAGGGGATTTCGGACACAGACCGAACAAACAACGAGCCAGGACCTCAGAAACACAGCGACCGTCTACAGGTTTTTGAGCAGCTCCTCGAAGACCAAGGCGACACACCTGACAAGCGCAGATGCCCGAACAATGCGCCGTGCGATTGTGTTTGTCTAGCTCCATTGTTACCAACTGCTGGAGGGTATCCTCTGGGTTTCGGCGTGAATTGTTCATTCAAAACATGAATTGTTGTAAATTTGCACACTCCAATTTTGAAACAATTCACGCTGACTCTGGGACAATCCAGGCGAGGCATATGGTAGCTCTGGGTTGAGGGTCTAGTCTAGGGCTCTTCCCCGAAGATCATGCGATCCATGGGGACTATAGTGGTAGGCGGCATTAAGCATACACATACACACATGCATCTAAATACATACATCTAAATACATACATACGTACATACATACATACACGTATACTCATAATGTGTCACGTATGTAATTATATATACCATAAACCCTATTTGCAGCTTAGCCGCTGAAGGGCCGGATCTTCCAGCTTTTGAATCTGGCGCTTCACCATCCTTTCGAAGGCGATCTCTGGCACGAAAAGCCTGAAACGAGTGGTCTCAGCTCGGATTTGCGATTTGAGGCTCTTGTAGAGTTCGAGCATGTGCTGTATTATTTGGGGATTTCGAAAGATTTTTTTGGCTTAGGGCAGTTTATTCTGTGTCTTTGGCAGGAGTTGCACAGGATCAACAGCCAAGTAGCTGTGGCTTAGGGCCAGCAGCATTTCTCATTGCAACGCGGATGTCCATGTCAGACAGCCCCGTGAAGGCATCGAACTGGAGTATCTCCTGTTGTTGTCAGTGCTGCATTAGGCTCGTGGCTCGTGGCATTCAAAGATTACTCCGAGACTGCTTGAACAAGTCCTGGGCGAACACTCGATGGAAAATGTGATGGATCCGAGCGCCACCAACCAGCTTGGCTGGCGGAGGTTCCTGCAACAGTTCAGGCTTGGCAACACATGTTTGGCTCTTTCAAGCCGCGTGAGTTTGACGGTCAGACCCTCGAAGAGTGCATGTCTTGCAGTCTCCTGTAGACGATGCTCGACGCGGCCCTCAAGCAAGTCACCGAAATGACGCACGTAGCAGGAGATCAAATGTAGCCTGAGGGCTGGGGCTCGTGCCGCAACCGGCAACAAGCTGCAACTGAAACTTGAAATTCATCCATGGTGCAAGAGTGGCCCTTGCCCCATCTGCTTCTCCAGGTTTTCGTCGCCGAGAGTCGCGAGCTCCTGAGAAGCTCAACAGGAGAAGGCACCGGTTAGAAAAAACCTCAGATTCGAGGCAGCAGTCCTCGCGACACTTCCCAGCCACTTGCTGCACGTTCGTGCGCAGGGAAGGCAAAGCCTTCGCACCAAAAGCACTACCACTTCCCTTAGCCTTAATTATATAAATTCTCGCATTGTCGCTCTTGCAAACCCGTTCTGTACAACATGCCTCGGAAGCTGCTAGTTCCTGCCTCTCTGATGTGGTTCAAGAGCAGGAATTGCAGTCGCTGTGCGAGGTTGGGAATGCCGCACCTTGGTGGCACGAGACGCTGACAACCCCAAGAAATTCCAAGAAACATGTTAACATATCAGCGTTGCAAAGGGGAATGCAAGCTAAGTCAGCGGACTGGGACAGCAGTGGTTCGAAGCGCTGCTGTCGCGTGAAGAAATCGTGTTCCTCCTCCGTCACATCAGCCGAGGGAAAGCATAACTTCGTGCAAAGCTATCAGGCTATCAAGGGAAAGGCCTTCAGTGCATCCTCGAAGGTCATCCCAGCCTGGCTTGACTTCTCGTTCCTGTCAAGCAAGATCACCAGTTGCGCTTACCTCACCTATGGGCAGACACTGATCCCCCAAAACACTCTCCTGCAAACAACCGCGGTGTAGCCCAGGCGAAGTGGGTAGACTTCACCCGCAAGTGCTTCGAAGGCTGTGCTCTGTTCCTCTGCCAGGTCCAGCTTCGTGAGCACCCCGACCTGACGTCAAACACTGTTTACAGAAACAAGGAAAGCAATCGAAGAAGCCCGTACTACTGCACAGAATAAAACTGCAATACCGCTTCGTGGCAACATTACGCCTGTATACCTTGCGAGATGTACTGTTATGACAGGCCAGTGCTTGGTGCATGAGTCTTTTCCTGTGTGCAGTGCGTTACATAGCTCTGCTCGGATACGGCCCATGTGACGTGTCACTATATGCTAGACAGGAATACCCCCCAAAGATTCAGGTCCCATCCTCTTCCTGCGTCCGCGCAGCTGTGCGCTGACCCTGAGGATCCACCTCTCGGGCCAAAGCAAGCGCATCCGAGGTGGCCAAGTCGACGTTTGCCGCGGACACGGCAAGGATCAGAGTGTTGCTGCTAGCCACGTACTTCTTGACCAGATTCCTTTCAAGTACTGCTTGGTCGCGATCGGAAGTAGCTTGTTCTCTTGGCACTGTTTCTGAATGCAAGGGCCAAGGCGATCGCGACTCAAGTCGGCCAAGCAACTGGATTCTCTTAGAGATGTCCTTGGGCTGGTCACCGGTTGGTACCTCGATGCTTACAGATGCGGGGCAGACACCCAAAGCAAGCGCCCCAAGAGATCGTTGGTTTGGCCCTCGACACTCCTCAATGCTGAATGGAAAACTCCCCAAAACCAGAAAAGAAACCTGGGACGGGGATTCCCTGTCTTCGTTCTTAGCTATCGGAAACATGCCAGCTCTCTGCGAACTATGGGGCCTTGGTCAGTCCGGGTAGGTCGACAAGGGTCAAGTCCATGACTGCCGGAGAGAAGATTCTGAGAAGGATCGGCTCGTCGCTGACACTGCCTCGAACGAGTTAAGGGGTTTTGTGTGTGGGGTTTTAGAGGTTCTTGACTGCGAAACTGGAGATGCAAATGGCTACTTCGCAAATGCCATCTAATCCTGTCAAGGAGCGACTGCCACTACACACACGCGCCGTTTCGGCTTCGATCTCTCTGCGGACGTCGCCGAAGTCACTAAACCTCGCAGACCCGGTCGACATGCTACAAATGAGCCTAAACTGCCAGACGGTTCCGGCCCCCACTACTGCTGAGACTTTGCTTGGCCTGCCTTCGATTGCTGTGCTGGAACTCTGCCCACTCGCTGTGTCCGGCTCCTTCAAGCGGCGAGTGAACAAGCAAACAAGTTCAGTCATCGACAACTGTCCCTTGTCTCACCCTTTCTCTCCAGCTTTCTCACGTTGTCATTCTCGCCCCACACCAATGAAACAAGATGAAACAAGCCCAGGGTCGGGTTGGAAACTCCTGCGATTCGAGTTAGTCTTCTTGCGGCTTTTCCGGGCGATATGCCTACCACAGATCACATCTCCCGTCCTGCATTGCGGACCTGTTGAAGCTGCAGAATCAACGGCCGCCGGGTCACTATCCCGCTTCCTCGTGGTAGAAAATCTCTGCCTGAGTATGTGTGCGAAAAGACCACATCTGTGCTTCTTGGTTCATCTTTCAATCGTTGTCCCGAAGCCGCCGAGAGGCCCACGAGGCTCTGCAAAACAGATGTCTTGCCCACAGACTGCGATCCCACCACTGCAATGGTGGGTAGCGAGAGCTCTGCATGCAATCCTGCATCCAAGACAACGACGCACCCCCCAATTTCTCAAGCATCGCACGGTGTGCATCATATGTGTGTACACAGCAAGACTCACGACGGGCGACTCGACTACCGAAAAAGTTAGAGCCGAACCTCATGCAAACAATGATAAGAACATGGGCAGCACACTGTATGTTTTCATGTTTGAGCGGCGCCAATGGGCCAATGCAATTCATGCCTGCACTCATGAGCTACGTGATGTGCTGACAAGAATCAACCCCGGCGTCCTGCCGAAACCAACACCTGATGGATGGCATTCAGCACGGCCAGGGGGTCTTTCATGGACGGGACCTCCTGGCACCCGACTGCTTCCTGAGGCTCCATGGACGTCAGAGCGCTGCTCGCAGACTCGGGTGAGGCGCGGAGTGCCGCATCCTGTCCATTGAAGCTCCGGAAATCGAAGTTGCATAACCCTTGAGTGATGCGAAGCACTTAAGGCACTGAATGCTGTAAAGCGCATAGTATTATGTAGTCCAAGAATCTTGAAACAAGACAGTCACGATTGCAATAAGCATAGATGTCGATTGTCAGCTCAAAGCTTAGCACAGGAAACAGCAATCCCTGTCGAAGAACGCTTCCCAGGTGAATTAAGTTTCCGTGCCTCCGCGCTACTGGCGGTTCCAGCTTCAGTGCGATGCATCCGCTCCTGCCAAAGTCTGCAGCCCCCATACCCTTGGCTACATTCTGGCTTCTCAAGAACTGTCTTTCTTCGCGCCAGAGGACATTCTGTTCAAGGGTGTGGAAAGAAAATAGCAGTTGCGAAACCCTGCTGGCACCCGTGTGGAACGCCTGTAGACCCTGGAAGAAGCCACAGAGACCAACATGGAAACGGAAACCCTTACAGAACCCATTAACTGCCCCTGATGAGCGGGGCCTTGGCTGCCACTAGGCCTTCGTGGAATCCGCGTAGGACATTCATGCGACAGCGGGCGAAGCGGAGACGTAGCTCTCCCGTGCGGCGCCATGGTAGACCCAACACTTGAGGTTCAGGTTCCTAGGAAGTTGCTAGGGCTTTCTTTGGGGAACTGATGGTGCTTTCGGTGTGGCTTTAGGATTTCTTCGGCTTCGGCTTTGGTCTATGGCTCACAGTTCGTAGAAGGGCTGACGGGGATTCCAAAAGTCAAAGTGTTCTGGCCGAAAACCTCGGAAGGGCCTGCTGGTCTTCCATTCTTCCATCGCGTTCGTGTAGGCTAATCGGGTCTTCTACGATCAGCACACGTTGCTTGAGCGAACGGGTGTCTCGCAACCCGAAGCCAAAATCTTCACCGCGTGAGTGTTGAAGCGCATCAGAACGAAACCGCCATGTGAGCTTTTTCGACTGCATGGAGTACTTTCTAGCGGGATAGTGCTCTATCTGCCATGAAGGACGAGCTAAGATCTCAGCTTTGGAGATCTTGTAGCCTCCGAAGACTTGCCGCATCCAGTCTCTGGCCATTTGAGCGCACGTGGTCTCGAAGCTCTGGCAGCTCTACCAGATTCTGTGTGTGCGCGCGCAAGGACGCACAAAAAGCAAGGAACAAGCGATGCAGAAAGTAGAGAAAGAAAGATAGATTTACAGTATAGTGATTATACAATATGCGAAGACATGGCGACCTTCGCTTGGACTTCGTCCATGGAGACAAAGGCCGCAACTACATACACCCTGCCCTCTGCAAAAGGCACGTGTCGAAAAATAAGTACATCGAGGGCCCACCACACATTCCAAACCCCAGCGTCCTCGGTTGAAAAGACTCCGGGGGAGAAAGAGGTTGACAGGCTGTTTCGCCGATATCCAGAGTTCCTGGCAACAACTCTGAAAGCAGACTCGACAATCCGTGCTGATGAGCTTTCAGCAGCGCTTCGTGTCAAACTCCAGAGCTCGCCAAACGCCGCAAGGCACGGACGTCCGAAGGCCTAATCTTGCCGCGCTTCAGCCAAGGCCAAAGGCACTCGCACAGATATGTATAATGTATACGAAAATATGTAATATTCATAGGCAAAGGTATTTCATAAGTACATCCATAAATCCGCATGCATGCATGCATGCATGCATGGGAGGACATATTGATGTAACGAATACGTCTGCCCTGACCCATACACAAGCAAATGTAAGCCGTAGACATGGGTAAAACTCCCTGTCGTTCAGAAGGGATGGAATTCGAATTAGGCATGATGGTATGAAGCTGATGTGCGGCATGCGTCCCACATGATTGCATTGCGGACTATATAAGTATGACTATGGAGGCAGCGCCGGATGTATGCAGGCATGGTGCTTTGACCCAGCACAGGTCATCATCTTGAAGTCAAAGAGGCGCTCTTCTCCGCCTCAGCAAGAGTAAGATTTTTCCACTACGCCAGCTCGACTAAATCGCAAGGACGACGGAAACTGAGACTCGTCAGGAGATAGCCCTTGCGGTTGGGATTTGGGAACGGCGGTCCTCCGTCCCAGCCGGGCCCGAAAAGCGGCACCTTGCCAGACCCTGACTCTTCTTAGCTGTGGTCTGTTAGCAATCTTTTTGGCTGCTTTCTCGAGGATGGCTCGCAAAGGGACATCACTGCAGTTGCAGCAGAGCTCCATTCAGCAAGTGCCCCAACGCAGTCAGCTGCACATCCTTGGAGGTAAACTCGGCCAAGACTGCTCGAGCTTCCGCCAATCTGCCCTTGTCTTGCATAGCGCGGAGTTCTTCCGCCGCCTCCGCAATTGACTGGAATCTTCTAGACCTTGGCAGCTGCAGCACTGCTCTCAAGTAGACGTCGCTGAAGATGCGATCCGCCTGTAGCCCCATTTCCTTGAGGAACTTGTAAACCGTCTGAACCTCGTGCAGAGGGGCCCTCCTGCATGCACCCATCAACTCTCGGAAGACGACGATGTCCGGCTCAATGCCCTGTCCGAGGGCCAACTCAAAGAAGCTTTTTGCCGTCTCATGGCTCTTTTCGCTATCCTGGGTTCTCGGCTTATGCTATCCTGGTTCATGGGTTTATGTTTATCGGAAAGCCTCTCCCCACAAGACCCGCACAGAAAATGTCTCCCGAAAGGCCACCTAGAATCTGCATTTTTGCAGGCACGGATCGCGGAAGTGAAGTGCAGTAAGTTCGGCTCCATCGGGGGCTCTAGGCGTCCCATCTGATCCAGGAGTGTTTGGGCAGCTTGGATGTCTCCAACCTCCGCTGCGGCATCGAGCCTTGCAGCACAGAGGGCTGCGTCAAGAGGGTGTTCTGCCACCGCCTCTTCCCAAATCTCACCGACTCGAGAAGGATCGGACTTCGAGAAGATCTTCAGAGCCATCGAGAAGCTAGGGAGATCACGCCACACAGATCTCTGGCACATTTCCTCGTAGATGCTAGCGCCCTCGTCGAACTGTTTGCAGCGAATTGCTGCAAAAAGCGCTGCACTGTAAATCGGAGTCTGTGTGCCCCTGTAGTCCCATATGATAGCACTGGCCTTGCTCCAGTCCCGGCGCCTGCCAGCTCTAACGATGCTTTTTAAGAGCTTCTCCTCCTCTCTTCCCAGGAAGGCCTCGCCCCTCTCGCGCGCCGAGGCTGCGAATGGTCTCTCCTCGTCGGCCCACCTCCGCGGAGGAATCTGGGGGGCCTCGGTGTTCGTAGCTCCCGTGGCAAAGGAAGTCGCCGTGTATGTAAAAGCCAAGAAGGAGCAAGCCCGGACCAACTTCAGCAATGGCCCACTTCTGGCCTTCGCCGACATTTCCATGGCACAAGCTGCGCAGCTTCAAAACAGCGGAAGCTGAAAGTATAGGTTCGCGAGGTGCTCACTTGCGGGCACGAGTTTTACCTTTGGTCTTAGCGGCGTCCGGATGTTGCTAGGCTTCGTGCAACACATCAAAGACGGCGTAGTGCAGTCTTAGACACAGCAGTTGAACACAAATGCAGCAGAAGGCGTTCACGGAAGGCCCATGTTGGAGACTGCCCCTTGCCTGGCCATTGAGTGTAATCAGTGACAACACTCTGGGAATCCGAAGCCCCATCCCCTCACGACTTGCGTCCCAGAAGCTGCTCAAGGTCAGCAGAACTGGCGCGCCCTTTGAGGGTGGTAGGTGGAGCGGTAGTTCAGAAATTCACATCACGTGATGCGAGACTGCATGCTCGCACGAGTAGGGCCGAGGGTGCTGCTGCAGCTGTCGCGAGGTATGCTTGCCTTGGTCCAGTCCCTCACCGAGTTGGCACTCCGAGCACGGTGTCCAACTAGCGACAGAAGCATTCAAAAAGCCAGGCTGCTCGATTGCCACGGCATCGTGGAAACTGCAAGCCTGCACAAGTTTCGATTCTTTGGAAGGCACGACTAAGCAACCTGCGTCTTGCCCAGAAGGCGACTTCAATGCATGTGCAGCTCTACTCAATATGCTCGTTTGTAGGGTTGGATCCGCGGGGGCTGGATCAGTGGGCTTCGCAAAAACCAAAGTTATCAAATCAGAAGTCAACCTGAACAAAGACTTATTGGATACGTTACGACACGGTAGGTTTGTCCAGAATTAATGTAACTGGAGATTTGCAGACACTGAAAATTGTTGAGAAAACCATGAAAAAATGTAGTATTATTTCTGTCCAAGCCGGTGTGTGAACAGAGCAACCGGAAGCTGTGCCATTCCAGTGACTCCTTGCACCGACATTGGCACGTCGGGCAAGGTCACACTAGATGGCTGGCCTTTGTGTCCCCAAGCAAGGAAACTTGATGGCTCTTCGGGTGAGAGCCCGGCAACACCAACAGGTTTTCGCAAGGCTGAGGACGTCTGTGCAAGAGCCGGCAGAAGCTGCAAAGGTGTGACTCCCAAATTGTCAACAAGAAATTGTTCCTCAAGTGTGTTCACTTGTGCCATGCCACTGACCCCTTGCACCGACATGGGCACATCGGGCAAGGTCACAGTGGATGGCATCTATTGTTTCCTCACACTGCTCAGAACAACCTGTCAACTTAAACAGGTTGCTGCAAGGTTGAGGAAATCTTGAGTCAGCATGGCATTGCTTGGCAAGGTTGACGATTCGAATTGAGGAAATCTTGAGGAATCCTCCTCAAGTGGGGCAAAGAAGGCAAGAACGACGTCCAAGGCCCTGATTTGCCGGCGCATACTCATTCACTGAAAGAGCCATATCAATTCTGTTCCTCCAAGTGTGTTCACTGAGACAGCCACATCGACATAAGGCTGCAAGCAAATCAGACTTGTGTCTCAATTGTTATGCAACCTTCTCATCAGTCATCGCACTGTTTTACCTGTGTTGCTGCATGGCCTGCTGTTGCTGTTGTGTCACAGCATTCACACCCCAAAAACCAGTCACAGCAGATTGGCTTG